GATGATGCTCGATGCGAGTCAGCTCGACGTTTCTGTTCTCTCCCGCCTTCTCGTAGAGGTCGCGGGAGATGCGAATCTTCGACCGAGCGAGCTCGAAGTCCTGAGGGAGAAGAGGGAGACGAGAAGATGTCAAAAGGAGAGAGGAGAGAGGAGAGAGGAGGGAGGAGAGAGGAGGGAGGAGAGAGGAGGGAGGAGAGAGGAGAGAGGAGGGGAGAGGGAAGGCGTCGTGAAAGGAGAGGGAAGGGGAACAGGTCAAGAGAAGAGAGTGGAGTGGAGAACAAGTTTCTCAGGGAGGAGAAGGGAGGAGAAGGAAGCGAGTGGAGAAGGGAGAGGAGAACACAGGGTTTGAAGTTGACGCAGAGAACAGAAACAGGAAGTACAAGAGAGATGATGCTCAGAAGATGGAGGTTCTAAGGTGAAAGCAGCATCTAGAGGAGGAAGAATGGAACTAGACACTGTTGGGAAGATAAAAGAGAGGAAGGGGGAGAAGAAGAGATAATGATGCTGAGGAGGAGAAGGAACAATATGAGGTTCAGGAGGAGGAGGAAAGGGGTGGCAGGGCGGAGTTTCTACCTGCTCGGCGATCGCCCTGGCAGCATCTCGGAGGGAGGCGTCAGCAGCGTCGATGTAATCCTTCACCCTCATCCTTCTCTTCAGCTCCCCAATCTGAACCGACAGGATCACAAGAACCCGGAAACGTCACAGGTTGCCTTCTTACCTGCTCTTCCATCTTGTCCACCATGACGATCATCTCCCCGTCCTCCAAGTCAGTGAAGATGCTCCGAGCTCGGAGCAGCTTGCCACTTGCAGTGTTGTCGTCCTCGGCCTTGATCGCTGACTGCACGTCCGACAGGAGGGTGATTCCCTCCGCTCGCTTCCTCTTGCGCAGCTCGAGCTGAAGTTGGATGTCAGCGGACAGTAGGGAGGAGGTAGGGAGCATGCGGGGTGAAGGTGGAGAAGTTGTAAAGTTGAAGATGTGAAGAATGCGATGAATGGATGAAGATTGCGTTGATGATAGAGATGATAGAGATAATGATGATGATGGTAATGATGATGATGTTGATGACGACGACGACGACGACGACGACGATGAATTTGCTGGATGTTATTTTACCTCATTGCACTTCTCGATTACTTCTGATGTCCTCTTCTTGTGTCGAAGATACTTCTCCTCATCTTCACATCCTAACGTCAGTCAAGTTTGTGGCTGAATCTTGTTCAACCTGTCCCTTTCACTTGCTCGATCACCTTCTCCACCTCCTCGATTTTCCAACGGACATCATCTACAATCGTTTTACGTCTTGCTTTCTCCATCGCACATCAGGGTTGTAATATACCGAATCTCTCTTCAAGCAAGAGTTTTTGTGCAGCGACAACGCCGATTTCTATCTCTCCCTCCAGATGACCGATCGACTCTCTTTGGTGCAGACAGGTTTCACATGCAATTCCTTCCCGTCATATCAATTTTACCTGTCCATGATGCGTTTCTTCCAAGATTGCAGTGTGTCCAGAATATCTTTGGACGTGTTTGAATCTGACAAACATACGATCGTTATTGTTTCTCCTTTGGTTCTTTTCTCTACCCGATGCAAGCCTCATTGCAAGCTCCAGATTTGTCTTGGCCTGTTCGTTCGAAAATTGTCCCATCATTCCCATCATTATTATCACCACCACATCATCATGATCACCACCACTATCATCATGATCATGATGATAATCATCATGATCATCATGATTGTACTCGTCGTCGTTTTTGTCACAGTCATCATTACTCAAAACATCATCGTACATACATTACCTCAACTATTCTTTGCTCATTGAAGCATTGTTCTGTTTCTTCAATCAGCCGCGCAATCTGCTTGTTCACCTGTCGGACAAATCATCCTGACGATCTTCAACGCTGAGCAAACAAATGAACCTTGTCTGCCTGCTCCGCTCTGTGGATGTTGTTCATCAGATCGAATATGATCTGATCTTTCTCTTTGATGTCTGACTCTCGAAGATGTTCGACTTCGAACTTGTGTCATTTCCTCAAAACATTCAAACACGCAGACCTGTCCTGACGAGCAGACTTCTTGCTTCTTCCAAGTTGTTGTTAGCGATGAGATGCTCCATCTGAAGTGCAAGATGTTCAGTTGTGCTCACATATACACAGGACATGAACATTACTTGTGCAATGAGTTGTCTTGCTTGTTGGCTCATCTTCTTCCTCTTTATCATCTCTTCGAGCTCCTGAACAAAACCTCTTGAGATGGAAACTTTCAACACTGACGAGCGAAACAGTTTCATCTCAAGAAGACTCTCATATTGCTCTTAAACGTCCTTATCTCACAAAATTTTCTCTGGGAGCGCACCTTCAGTTCAAGGGAATCGCTCTGTCCTGAAGCGTGTAGTGCTGTACTCGCTCCTGCACTTGCTCTGTCTGCTTCCTCTACATCTCCATCCTCCAAGGCTTTCTGTGCCCCCGGAGTCCATCAGATTTCTGTCACGTTATGCTCGCACATCACCTTTCCCTTCCTGATCGCATTGAGGTACACCTCCTTCCAGCTTGACTGCTTCAGTCTCAACTGCAACGATGTGAAAAGATCGAACAACGATGATGTTTCCTTTCTTGACCTCCACGGTCTCGATCACTCTCTCTGCTTTCCCCTTCAGGTCCGGCTTGTCTTCTCCTCTCATCTTTGCAAGGGCCTCCCTGGCCAGCTCTGCTGCATCTTCGAGCTTGCCTTCGGATAGCAGCGCTTCTGATCTGTTGACCAGGAGCGATATTCCCCCCATCCTCCTCCTCTCTTCCAAACTTGCACACACAACGTCAGTTCTAGTTTTCATCTTCAGGATTCTCTTCACCTTTCTTGGATTCTTGTTCGGAGGACATCTACAGCATTTCTTGCCTCCTCCTCGTCTACCCCAGCATAAAGTTCTTCTGCTTCTTCTACAAGTTTGAGCGCCATCTCCAGCTCTCCGTGTTTGTAAGCCTTTGAAGAGGGAAGGTGAGGAACTTAACAGACACGAGAAGCAAAACTCGATAGAAAGAGAATGAAAAACACATAAACTGACTGAGAAACAACAAGACTGAAACAGTCTGAGAAGCAACAACAACAACAACAACAACAACAACAACAACAACAACAACAACAACAACAACAACAACAACAACAACAACAACAACAACAACAACAACAACAACAACAACAACAACAACAACAACAACAACAACAACAACAACAACAACAACAACAACAACATCAACACTAACAGTAACAATAACAACAATGACAATAACAGTGAGTTGTCACCGATTCGGCTTCCTTGAGTTTCTTTTCCCCTTCTTGCCGTCTTTCCCATCGCTTCTCTTCTTCTCTCAGAAACTCTTCGCAGCTTTCAAGCTCTGCCCTACACCCCTCATCTGCGGCAAGAAAGCACATCATAATCTCAACTCTGCACTCACAGATCCAACCTGCTCTGACTGCGACATCTTTGGCCTTAGACAAGACAATCCTTGCATACCGAAAGTCCTTCTCTGCGATCAGACGGCCCGCGTCCCTTACAGCCGCTTTCAGCTCCTCGTTGGCCTTTTCGCAGCTCTCTAGCGCTTCGATCTCCCTCTCCACCTCCGAAACTTCTTCCGCCCTCCCCCCCTCCTCCGCCAACCGCAACAACGTTTTCACATCCACCAGCAGCGACTTTGCAACTTTCATCTCCCTCCTCGAGACTGCAGCCTTGGCCTCTAGCAGACATCGCTCTCCTCGCTGAGCATTCTCCTGTCTTGCCTGTCGGCTCGTCGCCTCTCGCAGCAGCCCCTCCACCACCACTAGCTCCCCTCCCATGCCAGCACGCAGGAACTCAACTTGTGCGAGTTTGCACAGCTCGCACACTTGAAGGTACTCCATCTCCTCCATCTTCTCCCTTATCGCATCCATCAGCTCCTTTCCCCTCGCTCCAGATCTCCTCCTCTCGATCTCAGTCAGCAGCTCTCGAGCCATCCTGGTGCTCCTCTCCTCCCCTGCCTCCTCAAACTTCTTCAGCGCTTCCTCCGTCCTCCCCGCCGCCGCCTCCACCATCCCCTGCTCTTGCAGCCTTCTCCCCTCCTCCAGCAACTCCTCTCCCTCATCACACAGCAATGCCCATCTCTCCCCTTCCTCCACCTCTCTTTCCAACCTCGCTAACATTGCGCTATGGTCCTCCCCCGAGCACAGCAGCAACTTCTTTGCGCTCTCCAGGCTCTCTCGCGCGTCTACCACCTTCCTCCTCTTCCCCACCACCCTCATCAGCTCCAAGTTTGCCCGCACGCTGCTCATCGCCTCCTCCGCTCTCCCCAACAGCAGGTGAGCAGCTTCTCTACTCGTGACCCTCCTCTCAAGCGCCTCCACCTCCTCCTTCACCCCCTGCGACCTGCATGCTGCTGCTGCCTCCTTGGCATGCCCAAGAAAGATCCTACTCGCCTCGACATTCAGCCCCTCCAGCGCCTCCTCGCATGCTCGAATGGCTCTTCTCGCCCCCTCCACCCGCGTCTTCTCCTCTCGCCCCTCAGACACCATCCTCCCCAGCATCTCCAGCTTCTCCCCAAACTCCTCCTGCAGCCCAGCTGCCCGACAGCATGACGAGGCGTCTTGTAACTGTCGGTTTGCTTCCTCCCAGTTCTCACAAGAGGCAGCCTCCTCGACCTCCTCCACCATGGCGTGCAGGCGAATCTTCTTCTCCTGCTTCTCCTCAACCTGTCTGATACGGATCTCCGCCAGCTCCAGCAGAGGACCAAAATTGGGCAGGCAGGCGGCGACCGAGAAGGAGCTCTTTGCTTCCTGCAGAGCTTTCCTCGCCTCCTTCGTCGCCTCCTGCTGCAAGAACGTGTCGATCTTCTCCATCGCCTCCTCTCCCCTTCCTCGCATCTCATGCCGCTCCTCCTCCTCCCCGATCCTCGCAAGAAGTTTTACAGCTGCTTCCTGCAGCTCCACATCCTCTCCCCTCGCCATCCTCTTTGCAGCCTCCGCTAGCTCCCTTGCCTTGTGGAAGTGAAGCTGTTTCACCTCCTCCTCGCTCTCCGCCAGCAGCTCCCTGCTCCTTCCCTTCGCTTCCGCCTCTCCTCGCATCTTTGCGATCTTCTCCATCATATCCTCCACCTCCTCCAGCGCGTCAGTGAGCTTTGCCGCCCTGAACAGACTTCTTGCCTCCTCCGCCAGCCTCCTTGCGTCCTCCAACCTCCTCGACCCCATCGCCTCCTCGCAGCTCTCAACAAGCTCGCTGGCTCGAGCGATCATCTTTGCCCTCTCCTCACTCTCTCTGATCATGTTCATCAACTCCTCCTCCTCCTCCTTCTCCTCCTCCCCGAAGTACTTCTCCCGCATTCTCCTCGCATCCCTGACCTTCTCCTTGGCCTGCTCAAACTCCTCCTCCGTCAGCAGCTCCCGCGCCTCTTGGAGCCTCCTCCTCATCTCAACTTTCCTCTCCATCTTCTCGATCTCTTGATTCACCTCCTGGGCTCGCGCCCGCCCTGATCTATTGTTCGCCTCCTCGAACGCGTCCTCGCTTGCCCGAACATGTTTCCGCGCCAACTTCAGCTCCTCCCTGCTCAGGAACTCCCTCGCAAGCTCCAGCTCTTCTTCCGCCCCCTTGACTTTCTCAGCCACATCCTCACTCTGCTTCACACGATGCCGCAGCTTCTCCAGCTCCTTTTCCATCTCCTCGCTCAGCTCGATATCCCCACTAGCAATCTCCGCAGCCAGCGAGTCCAGCCCTGCCCTTGCTTCGCTCGCTCTTCTCCTCTCCTCCTTTTCCAAGTCGTTGAGAATTTCCTCTATCCCCTTCATCCTCGACAAGACGACTTGCTGCTTCGCTGCTTTCCCCCTCTCCTCCTCGATCCTCCTCCTCAGCTCCTCCATCTCCTCCTTGCGGTGATCCAGTCCAGCGTCTCTCGCCACCTGCTCGGCTCGCAGGAGAAAGTTGGACGCGATCTCAAAGTTCCTCCTCTTCACGTGCTCCTCCGCCTCCTTCAAGTCCGACTCCAGCTGCAGAGCCTTCTCCGTCCTCCCCGCTGCGCTCTCGATCGCTCTCGTCAGCCGCTTCAACTTCGCTCGCATCTCCTCGTCCTCCACGTGCTCCATCATGACCTTGCACTTGATCGTCAGCTCGAAGCTCTGCTCCAGCAGCCGCGTCCTCTCCTGCAGCTCCCCTCGCAGCGCTTGCTCCATTCTCTTCTCCGCCTCCTGCAGGCAGGCAGCGGCCCGGCCCCTCCAGTCCTTTCTCTCCATCCTCTGTGCCACCTCCTCCTCCAGCCTCATCAGCTCCTCACTGAATTCCTGTACGCATCTTCCCTCCTCCAACAGCCTCCTGCTCTTTCTCAGCGCTATCCTCGTATCCTCAAAGTTCCCTTCTTGCAGGTACTCCCTTGCATCCTGCAGCGCCTGTCTCCCCTCCTCTCTGAACCCCTTGACCCTCCTCTCCTCCTCCAGCCTTGCTATCGCCCCAAAAAGCTTCTCCACCCTCTCCATCCCTCCCTCCATCTTTTCGAGCTCTTTCTTCGCTTCCTCTGCCTTCTCCTTCGCTTCTTTGACGTCCCCCCTGCTCAATGCAAGCTCCCCCTCCTGCAGCAAGGCCTCCGCCCTCTCCTCCTGCTCTCTTCTCTTCTTTGCCGCTCCTGCTCGGTGCAGCAGCTGCGAGACGACGAAAACTTTGTCGAGCGCTCCCGTCATCTCGAATGCTTCCTTTGCGATCGCACTCTCCTCCTCCACCTCCCTCCACCTTCTCGCCCTCAGCGCCTCCTCGGCTACTCGCAACGCCCTCTCTCCTTTCCGGAAAATGTGAACCTCCTGCTCTGCTTGCTGCACGCGAGCGCGGAGGGAGGCGGCGGCCTCTAGTCTCGCAGTGAGCTTGTTCTGCCTGATGAAGGCATCTGCCTCCTCCAGGAGTCTGCCTGCGGTCTGAATGATCGCCATGTCGAACAACCGGTCATTGATCTGAGGGCAACGTCAGGAGGAGGAGGGAGGAGGATCGAGGTAGGTAGAGGGGAAGAAGGAGCAAGTAGGTAGACAGGAGGTAGACAGGACGGAGGAGGCAGCAGGGCAGCTCAAACTTCACCTGCAAGAGGGTTTGTTTGACCCTGTCAAGCATCTCATCCGCCGTCTTCAAGTTCTCCGCCTCCCTTCTCTCCCTCCTCTCCCTTTCGTTGGAAGCCGTCACTTGAGCCAACGCTCTGGCCTGTTCACAGCAGGTCAGGATCCACAGGACACAACTTCATCCTACCTCCTGCCTCCACCACTTGAGGAGGATGTTTCTCTTTCTCCTGCTCATCAGCTCATCCGCCTCGTTCTTCTCCTCTCCTCCCGTCCCCTCCTCTTCTCGCTCGTCGCCCAGCTGCATCCTTTCCACCTTGCGATTTATCGCCAGCCGCACTGCCGCCTGCCCCTGCCGACCTCTTGCTGGAGGAGTCGGCCGCAGGACAGGAGCAGATGCCCTGTCAGGTTGCTCCTGCTGCTCATTCCCGCTCGGACTCTGTTCCTTCACCATCCTCTCCTTCTCATCGTTCATCACGTCCATGGCCACACCCGTCCTGTCCATCGTCGGTCCTCTGACATGGCCCGGAGCTCTGGCAGCATTGCGATCGGCTCTTGGAGCAGGAGGAGGATGCGGAACCAGCCTCTTCCCTTCCTTCATCTCCAACGTCGTTGACCTCAGCTGGCCATCCTCACCTCCGAGCCTCTCTGTCTGCCTTCTCTGCCCATCGCGTCCACCACCAGCCTGCCGCACGTTGTCTTGCCCCGAGCTTGCCGGCGTATTCTCCTTGTCTGTGGCTGCAGGAAGGTTTGCCATGACATTCCTTGCAGACGCTTGAAGAACGGAATGATCAGCACGTCGCATGATCGGCACTCCGAAACCCTTGGGGGATCGCACAGCATTGTTTGCCAGGATGTCTGCAAGGTTGGCTCAGCCTTGAACCTGTTCTCTTACTCTTGCTCACCTCGCTTGCCATGATCGTCTTGCTTCTCCTCCCTTCCAAGGAGCGTGAAGTTCAGATGGGAGCGAGAGGAATCGGTTTGAGCGAGAGAGGACAGTCGCCGTTTGATCTCGTTGGGCTCCACCAACTCCAGGGATGTCAATAAAGCAAGTCATGTCATTATTCCAGTCACCTGCTTCCCCAGCAATTTCGAGTGATGACTGAGTTGATCCCTATTTCTGCTTGACAAGTCAACTCGATTGTGAATGACGATGTCAACATGAACATTCGCAATACTGTAATCTTCATCTTCCATCATCATGATTTACATCATCGTCAACACCACCAACCATCATCATCACAATCGTCGACATCAATCAACAGTCGTCGACTACCTTATGCTCAATTCAGAAGCAAAAGGAACGTGAGAAATCATCTTGGTCTTCTCCAGTGCAGCACACTTGGGGGGGACAATCTTCGGAAGCTACACAGGAATTTACCCTCCTCCTCCTCCTCCTCCTCCTCCTCCTCCTCCTCCTCCTCCTCCTCCTCCTCCTCCTCCTCCTCCCACTTCTCCTCATCATCGCCTCCTGCACCACTACCACCGATAATAACAACTACTACAACACGTATCTCACTTCTTTCGGCTCATCCTCGTCAGAGAAGTCCAAGATATCCTGCAGTAGAGCATGTCTTCACTCCATCATTGTCTCCCATCTCCGCTCCTCTCACCTTCCTTCCTGTCGTGTTGAGCACGTATCGCTTCCTCTCGAACGACGGCACAAAGAGATCATCTGTCCTGGTTCTGTCCTGCTGCTGATCATTCGACGGCAAGTCATACACGTTCACATCGGTCAACAGCTCCTGCTCCACCTTTTCGTTGCTCTCAATGCCAGCGCTCTTGTGCTCTTGCGTTGTCTTGGTAGCGTTCAGAAGCTCATCGACATCCTCAACAGCCCACGAATCATCTGCATGGCAAGTTGGTTGTACATCATGCTGCTGCTGCTGCTGCTGTTTGCTGCTATCTCTTCATTACACTCACTCCTCCCCTGTCCCTTCTATACCACCCAAGACTGCTGCTACCTCCTCCTCTGCTTCACCTTGCGAGATTTCCGCACGGCTCTTGGGGCCGCTCAACACAAACTTCTCGATCTGATCCAATGGCTGCCATTCAAATTCGCTCTGCTTCCATGATGATTCTGCGTGCCCGTCGTCAGTCTCGATGTTTGCTCAACACACGGAGAAACGCACCAGCAGCTGCATCTTCACCGATCGGCTTTGCTATGGCCAGACTCGACAGCCGTTGCTTCGCCTCTGACGCACTGATCTTCTCGCTCCTCACAGGGCGGAAATTCGTTTCTCGCTCTTTGAAGATGGAACCCTTCTGTGGAGCCATCTCGCCGCCGCTCTTGCCAACGGACACCGACAGCTCCTCTTCCAGCTTGTTCAGGAAAGTTTCTTCATCCTCATCCAGCACTTTCATGCTCGCGGCAAGATCGACAACTCTCTGTCAACGGCAAGCGCTCAAACTTGTATGCATTAGTCTGACATGGCCGGGGAACAGGTCAGTCCTGCACATAGCATTGTTTTCCCCGCCGACAGCATTGTGACTCGAGTGCACGAGTTTGTTGGCGGAGGTTGAAAGATCTCATGATTGAGTTCAGTCGATTCAAGTTCACAGAAACTGAACACAGCGAGGAAATTTGCTAACGTCCTGCTCTTGTAAGTTCCTTATGATCAGCATGGTTTGAGTTGCATGACTCTGGTTGAAGCCTCGTTGTCCCTCGGTCTCTCCTCACCTCCTCCTCCTCTCCTCATCGCTTCATCTTCCTCGCTTCTCTCTCTCTCTCTCTCTCTCTCTCTCTCTCCTCCCAAGAATTTTCATCTAAAACTGCAATCCGTTGACCGCCATAGTCATTCTTGTACCCCTCCACCCCCCTCCACCCCAACCCCCCCACCCTAAATTTATTTTATAAATCGGTACTTCTAGAAGTAGCAACAACTGAGAGTTGTATAGGTCCTTCGATGATGGTGGGAGGAGGAGGAGGAGGAGGAGGAGGAGGAGGAGGAGGAGGAGGAGGAGGAGGAGGAGGAGGAGACGCGAGGTCGAGGAGACGAGAGGATAAGAGGCGGAGATGCCTATCAGAAAATCTTGCTTCCTGCGGGTTATGATGTTCTTGCATAACAGTGTGGCCTTGAAACCTTGTTGGTGCGCGGAGTGCAGGATTGATATGACACAACCTACCTTGAGACGTCATCAAGCAATGGCGGGCATGAAGGGTTGCATGCGAGGTCGTGTCCTCACAAGAGAGCAGCAAGCGGGAAATCATCGCTTCATTAGGTTGCTGTGAGACTGTGAGGCAGCACAGTAGGGGAGCTTGCAACGCAGACTGCGAAGGACGTTGACTTGAAACCATGGGAGGTGCGATGGTGAAGAGCTTCAAGCGCAGCAGCATCATCTCGACGCTGTCCAGCAACATCTACCCTTGGTCGACTGGGGATGACGGGGGGGACGAGGCGTTGCTGGACGAGCAGTTGGGGATGCAGGAGGAGCAGCCCCCCAGCCCACCGAATCCTGAGATACAACGGCTGATCTCAGAGTTTCTGGAAGCAGAGACAAGTGACAAGATGGAGTTTGAGAGCATCGTTGAGAACACAGCCAAGGCTATCCATGCTGAGATGAAGGTGATGCCGGCACAGTCTACAGGCAGCAGTGACTCGACAGTCAAAGAGGATGTGTATCCGATACACACTCCACAGCGATTGCAGGAGATTCTCAACACACAGCTCCTCATCTCACAGCTCAAGCGCGAGATTGTAGTGGAGGTAAGACTTGCATGCCATCTCTGCTCGTACCTCTCCCCAACGAGCTTGTAGGAATGGAGCAATGAGAGACAAAACCTCGAGTCCACGTTCCAGCTCTTCAACCATCAAAGAAATCTGTATAATGCCTTGCTGACGTATCTTACTGATGGTGCTGATTGTTGTTCATGCAGCACTGCTCAGGTTGAGGAAGAGACCAGGGAGCTAGAGACTCTCGCTCGTGAGGAGAAAGAATTGCATGAGATCATTGTCGAGTACAAGAATGACATCAAAGGAGTTCTGATGAGACAGCGGATGATTCAGATGGTAAAAGATCAGAGACTTGTCGTCTCATGCTGATGCCACTGACAGAAAATCGAGTCAAGAAGCAAATCGAAGCAAGAGCGTATCCTGGAGGACGAAGAGGTTCGATTCATGGCTGCATGCAACCCTGCGCCCTGATGCCTGTCTCAGCTTGCTAGACTGGAGGCAGAAGAGCGGTTTGCTGAAGCCGGCATGAGGCATGAACTGACTTTGGCCGAGGTGACGCAAGAGTCTTGTTGAACTCTCTTGACAGCTGCAGAGCAGGCGACGAAGTTGAAGAAGCTGAGACTCAAGAAATCTGAGTGGATCAAGAATGCAGAGGCAAGAGAACAAGAAACCAAAGATTACCGGGACAAGCTTGCAAGATTTGAAGGCGAACTGCACAGCACACGATCAAGACTAGAAAACGCGAAGAAGGAGGTATGGGTTTGCGTTGCTGTTGAGAGGTTGAGAGGCAGGCTGTAAGGTTGCATGCAGGAGGAGCATATGATCCTGAAGATGAGAGATCAACGAGAGAAACTCCGCCAGTCACAAGAAAATCTCAAAGAGATCAATATGCTGATTCTGCGAGAAGTGGGCGAGAACTCCCCCGACCACAACCCTCAAGATCAAAGGTCTCCTTCGCAGATGAACTCTCACAGGAAGGAGGAGATAAGGACGCACGATGGATTTCTTGTGATCATCTACACGCCGAACGCCTTTCCTTCCTCTGAAGCGGATGAGAAGCTGTTTTCAGTCTCTTGCTCACTGCCCGATATCAACCTGCAGGGATTGGACGACTACCGGGTGATGATAGACAAATACCCTTACCCCAAATGTCGTCGGGAGGCCAGTTGCTGGTTCGACGTCGAACTTGCTGGTGAATATGTGTTCTGCTTGTCGACAAGAGCGAGAGCATTGCTGTTGGTCGATGACACCTTCGTGTTGGAGACAGAGAGTATAGGGGAGGCACAAGGAGAAGAAACGATCAGCGGCAGGGTCAGAGGCTTTTTCTGTGAGTTTTTCTATGTCGGTTGTCAGATCGAGCCACCCTTGAAGGAATTTCTCGTCACTGCGACATGCAACTGGTCTGATATCATCTCTGACATCAACCTGCCGAGCGCGAGGGATTTCTTGGACTGTGACCCTCACTGCCCGCTCGAGTACATGGTTGTTCGGTGCTCGGGTTGGTTGCACATCCGCCATCCAGGGACGTACTTGTTCTCGCTGGAGTCAGAGGATGGGTCTTATCTGATCGTTGATGATGAGCTGGTGGTCGACAACGGGGGGGCACACGGGTTCTGCTCAGCGAGGAACTCAAAGTTCTTGCAGAGGGGGGAAAAGAGGGTTGAGGTTCAGTTCTTCATCAATGAAGGAAACCCCGGGCTGGTTGTGACGATGAATGGACCAGACACTGGAGGGGAGGAGAGGCTGCTGAGCGGATACTGCACGGATCAAACGGGGAGGTTGAAAGGAGGAGGATTGAGGTCAAGGCAAGTGCATCAGGGAACGGGTCTGGAGCAAGGGAGTGCGAGGGCTAGGGGGGACATTGAAGTAGCAGAGAACGGCTCGGAGGTTTCAGACTCAACTAGCTGCAAGTCTGTTGGTGTGGTCTGCTTGCGGAAGGGAAGGCATCAACTGGAGCTGACGTGGGAAGAGGAGGAGGCAATCTGCTTGAGGTACAAGGGACCAGATACCCTGCAGGTGGAGAAGATGGTAGGAGGGTACCACCAACCGTCTGCTCTTACAGACACTCTCAGTATATGGACCAGTCCAACGAAAGAGTCAGATAAGCTGGAGTTCTCGGAATGGCAGGAGAGGTCACAGTCACTCTAAGGCAAGTGTAATATAGATGGAAACACTAGTCGTGTATTAAAAAGCAAAGTTATGTTTGTGTGTGTGAAATGAATTTGAAAAAACGGACGGTCACGGAGTCTGTACACATCAACACCGATCGCTCAACTCTCAACAATTACGGGCACCAAGTATCCTGACGAAACAACATTTCACACTTCAACGGCATCCTGCACGGAAGGTAGTCTGACAACCCTCTTCGTCCCAGCCTCCTCACGCAGAGTCGAGGCTGCTGGCAGAGTCGCTCTGGCACGAGCTGGTATCCGTCGACTCCTTGTCGGAGCAGATGACCAGGTCCACGAAGACCGGGTAGTGATCAGAAGCGTCGTCCATCACCCGCTGGTACTGCTGCACCTTGGTCGACTGCAGCCCTTTGGACAACCAGACGTAGTCGATGCGGAGCAAAGGCTTCTCGACCCAGCAGGTGGGGCCAGGGAACTTAGTGTCCTTGGTCATCCCCTCCACAGCCTTCTCGGGGTCGAAAATCTCCTCAACGTGGTTCATGCTCTGGTAGAAGCAGTCCACGTATCCTCGAGTCTGCATGTCGCTGACTGCCTGCGTCGTCTCCGGGGGAGGAGTCCAGCCCTTGCTCTTGGCGTCGTCCAGGATCTTGTTCCACTGCTCCTCAGAGCAGTCGGAGCGCTGGAAGGCGTTGAAGTCGCCGCAGAGGATGTGAGGGCCGATGTCCTTCATGCTGGACATCATCTCGGCCACCTGCTCTACACGCAGCTCCTCCGACAGTTGGTCGAGGTGGGTCACGCAGAAGGTGCAGAACATGTCTTGCTCGAGCTCGACCTTGACGGCTGAGAAACACCTGTCCTCGGCCTCGATGCGCCTGCCAGCCTGTCGCATCATCAACGTCAGAGGAGACGCCGAGGGCAAGAGAGTTCAACAACACCTGATGGCGGGGATGAGGCTTGACAACAACGTGAGTCTCATCCACAATGGGGAACTTGGATAGGATGGCGTTGCCATATCCAAACTTGCCGAAGTAGCCATCGTCGGTGGCCTGGCCGAAGCTGATGAAGGGGAGGTGGAGAGCCTTGGCAAGAGCCTCAAGGTAGGGGAGCTTGTTATCGGTGCTCTTGGCTACGAAGCCATTGCCCTTCCCACTCTTGACAAGATCGAAGTAATCCTTGGCCTCCTCTGGATCCGAGGGTGGGCGGTAAGGATGGAGCACCTCCTGAAGGGCGATGACGTCAGGGCTGATCTTCTTGAGCACAGCAACAAGGCGATCGAAGTTGTCGTTGTGACGAGTGTCTCGCCACCCGTGGATGTTGTAGGAGACCAGGCGGGCCGGGCGGTAGCCAGTCAAGACAGTGTCAGCTGCGCTGGCAAAACTGAGATCGACATCGAAATCGTTGCTCCACAGCGTCTCGTCGATGACGCGGGGAGATGAAGTTCTTGTGAGATATTCGTCCTTAGAGCCCAACATTTGCCTGATCGAGGACTTGGTAACTGTGTACTGCGACATTCTGAAGAAAAGAGAGAGAGAAACTGTTTTTCGCTCTGTAAGTCTACTTGGGCTTCGTCCCTCCACGCTTGTAGCTATGTCGGAACGGAGAGTGGGTTGGTCTTTTCGCTAGTATTTTCGTAAATGTTCTTCGAGCTTTCCTGGTGTCTTGAATCCCTGCGAACATCCATTAGCTTGTAATCACACACAAGTTGAAACCACAATAAAATTGACCATTGAAATCTTTCACTGATGTATTCCTACATTGATTCTCTACTTGGAAACAGTCTTTCTCCCTCTACATGCCATTTTCCTGTCTGCAACCACACCAATCCTGAATTCCTCCAGGTCTATTCCTTGACGGGTTGCCCTTCAAGTCGTAATCCGGCCCAAACTCCAAGCTCCCAACACTTAATCTTAGCTCCTACTCTGAGACAAGCATGCTTTTTGCTTCATCCCTCGACTTTCTCCTGCCATCGCTCTTGTTCCTGCTCCTCCTTCTCCCTCCCTTTCTCTCTGCCCGGTTCCCTGCCCCGCCCTCCTTTAAGTGAAGCTCTTCCCACAACCACCCCACCCCTCTTTTTCCTTGTCATTACATCTGAAGTCCACCCCTATTTCCATAGCCCTTAGCACCCTACCTGTCACACGGCTTTCCGCATGCAGACATCACCCCAGTACCCCTACTTTGACCATTTATTCAACCCCTTCATCCAAAGGTCATTACCCCCACCCCTCATCCAAGATCTAGACCCTGTCTTTAGGTAGATCCACCCCTTTTCTAGAATTAGCTAGAACCCCCTACCTTCGGTCAGCGGCTTATAGATTTGAGGACCCCCATATACAACTAAGGAAATCTTCCACAGATACCCCCACCCCCAATATCAAAATCTTGTTTCACCAGGACCCATGTACTGTGCAATGGCACCATCCTTTAGAGCGACACTTGTACCGGTACCATCTACCCACCGATGGCAATGGGCTTATCACGGATCAGCTGACACTACCACCCACCCTCCTCTTTGTACTATACCCCCGCAAATTTGGGAGAAATCGTTTCACCCACCCTTCAACTTAACCTACCCTGTAGCTTTTGTTAGCACCCCCTGTATCCCACATGCCATATATGGAGACCACCCCCTTTGAACCAGTCACTACCCACCCTGGACAGCATCCCCATCGAATCCTTTTTGGATGTCTTGATTGGTATCTCAGGCTGATGAGAGTACCCCTACCCCCTCTGAGATACCCATGGAGGGTGGGCGAGCGCAGCAGAAGGTTGCCGGCTTGCAAGGGTGGGGGTTTGTGGGGTTTTGTATGTTTGAAAACTCTATACGGCAACCCCCTCCATCCCTACCCCCCACCCTGGCATCACTCACCTACCCCTACCAATACCTCCAACTTTTGGCATCAAATCCCTCACTCGTGATCACCCTGACGGACCATGTTGCGGCTAAACCTCCGTGGGGGTCCCATGGGGTGCACCCCCTACCCCCCTAGTCCCCACGGAGCTGTTTTGTATCCGGGAGTAGGCGTTGTTTCTGTCGCTTATGCCCTTACCACCCCCACCTTATTTCATGCACGTTATCTAACTCACCCCCCACCCCCAAAAGCTCATGATTGTACCCCACAGAAGACCCAAGATTTCCTATTTTCACCCCACCCACCACTATTATTCCCCTGAAACTATGATATTATGAATATTTGTAAAAAACAACGTGGTTTAAAATCAATTTTATTGGTGGGGTAGTTCTCACGCTTAAGACCTGGCTTGCTAGACTGACACACAAAAGACTGGGTACAGCCCTGGGTGGTACCACGAACAGGGAGAACGGGTGGGTGGGGGTACCAAAACGGATAATCAGCAGGGTGGGGTCAAAATTGGAGTGTGTGTGAGGGGCTGGTGGGGGGGGGTCACGAGGGTTGGCGAGGCAAAGTCACGAGGGGCGATGGCAGGATGACCTTGAGGGGGTAGGGGGGTGGTATTCGTGGTGCAAATACAGGGAACTATTATGTATATGGGGTGGGGTAGTGTGTGAGTGGACTCGGGAAACTCTCCGAGGGAGCGGCCGCCACTCCTACTTGTCTTGCAGGATGATGCGTCGCGCTTTCAAGGCTGTGGTCTTTACTCAAAGTTAAGTTAAAAATCAGTACGAGGACAATCAGGAGGTGGCTGGCAGCCTGGCAGAGCCGCGGCGGCTCGGCGAACTTGTTACACTGAGCTTGACTCAGTGAAGGAAACGGCCGGCCCGGCAGCCCGGGCCGGAACCGGCTTGCCTAGGCTTTCCGCGCGACTCATGATGATCGGATCATCATGGCATCCGCCGAGTCGAGTCCCGGAGTCCGATCCCGGATGACCGTCGGCCGGCGCCGGGCAGGCCCAGGCCGGGCAGGAGAGGCCCGGGATCCGGGAGTCACGGTCCGGCGGACTCCCGTACCGTACGGTCGCGGGGATCACTGGCCCGGATCATCGGCGGGCCCGACTCCGGCGCCGGATGCCGCGCTGCCGCGCTGCGCTGCGCGCTGCTCTGCGGCTGAGTCCGCCGGGCGGCGGCCGGGCCGATCGGACCGGGCCCCGGCGGCGTCCGAGGTTCGGATCCCGGGCTTTACGGCAATGTTCTTTAGTACGGTCACCCGGGCTACAAACCTGCCAGCGAAAATGGTTTGCAGGGGTGAGTTGGGGGGCGGGGGGCGGGCAGGCTGTACCTGAGGGAGAGGCTGACATGAATGCTGCCGATGAAGCGAAGGAGGGAGAGTCGAAGATGGTTGTTGTTAGATGACGAGAGGTCATATAGCACTCAGAAGTTGCTGTTCTCCCTTCACTTTCTAGTTCTTCATACGAGTTTTCTGACCATCAATCGAGCGGCACACGAGCCCCTTTGGAGTGTTTTGGTGTTTGGTTATGCGATGAGACGTGTGTCTCATACGTTTCTGAGCTGAAATCCTTTGTCTGTCATCGATTAACTTGTATGGATGTTGAGGCGTTTCACAGTTACAATCTTGCTCCTGCTCACGGCGCAAACTGTTAACGCGTTCACATTCTCGTCCTCAAGCCTGGGGTTGCTATCGAAGTCGGGTTGTAGCTTACAACTATTAATTTTTCTCTCTTAACTTGGGATTTTCACCAGCATGTTTGGGGGAGGTCGCGGTCTCACCCCGCTCATCCCGGGGCTCAATCCTCAGTACCAAGATGCAGCAGGTCAGACAGAACTTTCCTCCTTCTCCTCGTCCCATCCAGAGCGAGACGATCTTGTTCGTTGTGACGATCATTCAGATTCGCGGCACATGTCCCATCTGCAATCAGCCTGTCACGACGGCTCAGCCTCGCGAGCTCGACGAGAACGGCAAATACTGCCATTCTGCATGTGTGCAGGAGAAACTGAGCGCTCAGGTACGCACAGTAGTCGATGACCCTCTCCTTCTCTTCTTCTGTCTGACATATCTATCTTGACGTCATCGCGCTCACTATCTGTCCTCCAGGGTTTGACGCAGATCAGCGCTGCTGAGCTTGAGGAGCTGAAGGCCCTTGCGGAGGGTCGCCCTGCGCCGAGCAAGACTGCGCAACGAAAGCAGACTGGAGGATCGAATCCCTTCTCCTTCATCGGTAAGAGGAGAGAGAGGAGGGGGGCGGGAAGGGAGGGAGGGAGGGAGGGAGGGAGGGAGGGAGGGAGGGAGGGAGGGAGGGAGGGAGGGAGGGAGGGAGGGAGGGAGGTAGGGAGGGAGGGAGGAGAGAGAGGGGGAGAGAGCGAAGGGGGAATTACTTTGCCCTCAACGCTTTGTAGGCAACATGTTCGGATCGTCCGCTCCATCTGGACCGGAAATGCCCGATCTCCCCACCTCCGCCAGCAGCCCCCCGTCCATGCTTGATAGGATGCAGCAGTCGACTCAGGTAGGCGCGATGGTCTTGCCCCTATTTCAGAGGAAGGAGGGTGACGAGCAGCTGCAGGCGCCGCCTACCCAGCAGAAAGTGCAGGGCGACAATTGGGAGATGGCGTATGATCCAGCATCGGGAGCTCCGTGAGTTTATCGTTGCTCTAGAGCCTTTGGCGATGACAACCCAGCTGGGCAGGTACTGGTACAAGGTATCGACAGGCGAGTCGACCTGGGAAAACCCATTTGCCAACGCCCCAGCTGCTAGGCCGACTGCTAAGCCAGCTGCCCAGCAGCCAGCAACGAGGTCCGCTGCTTCTGTGCAGCTCCCACAGGGGCAGAGGTTTGACCTGATCGCTGGTGCGAATTAGAATGACGGCTGACTTCGCTCCAGGATCCAGCCACAGGCGGGAATGCCTATCCCGTCCTACTGGCAGGTGAGCAGAACGAGTTGGTGGTAACTCCAGTACTGATTGGAAGGACAGGAGGGCAATGAGTACTTGTTGAACAAGAACAACGTGTTTGAGATGGGAGAGGTGAGAGAACAAGCGGGTGGGGATTAGGGGTTGAAACGAAGACGAGGACGAGAGAAGGGGAATCTGGGACGATCTGACTTGGACACGCTGCCACTGTGACAAGTTCTTGGGCAGATCGTCGCCATCCTTCGCTCCGATGGTGAGATTCGCTTCGGATACATCGTCAACGTGAACGCAAAGAAAGACATCTCGGGCAAAGTGGTTGCCACCACCACGTGATCAATCCGTCGAGACGTCAGCCCCCGCGGCCTAATGACCTTGTTGGTCAGGTACGACGTTCAGGTGGACAAGAGCGGCTCCTTCTATCAGGTCAAGGCCTGCTGGACTTGTGCCCGCCAGTATCTGACAGGATCAACAGGGAAGATACGCGGATTCCATTTACAAGATTACGTGGGTCTGGAGTCATCTTAACGACCTTTGACAAGCATGCAGGTATGACGTCCGCTCTGTTGGAATCGTGCTGGAGACGCAGTCCAACACCGGCTGGATCTGAGCTGCCATGCTTATCAAGAGGCCTGCAGGACAAACCTAATCTACAGGTAGAGCTTAGTGGGTAGAGCTTAGTGGCTTCTGCTCTCTCAACAGATCTAGTCGACGAGCATGTGGAGAGACTTCCTGTCCGCCAGCTGGCAAGAAGCTGGTCACCTTCTGCTCCCACGCCTCCCCTCCTCAATCTCCCTCCTCACCTTGGGGATGGTGTCGTCCCACTTGAAGGGCTCCATCTGCTCCATTCTTGTCAGCCGCTCCCATTCCTCCTCTCCCCTCCCATCAACTTGCCCCCCTGCCCCCCCCCCCTTGCCCTCCTCCCTCTCCCCTCCCAGTTTCGTCACCTTTTCCCTCGGCTTTCCCGATAGCCCGACCCCACCAGCCTTGCCCCACTCTCCCAGCTCACTGGATTGTGCTCCATCGCCCTTCTTCATTTCCCCTCCTACCCAAGCACATCACTCTCTCCTCAGCTCCCTTGTGCCTCTTACCTGCATGCTCCGAGGCTGCTGCCTCCTCCTCCTCCTCCTTGGGCTTCTCGACATCCGCTGGGGCTTCTGGAGCACTTGTCAACATCCATGCGCCAGCTTCTCTGCTTCTCAGCTCGCAGACCTGCGGGAGCTGCTGGGCGAGTTTGCCACCTCTCGTAGCCGAAGGATCCCTCGGCAGAGACGGTGGACTTGGCCCTGCCGGCATGGCGGGACAGAATATCGATGATCTGCTCGGCCGCGTCAACGGCTCCCGCAAGCGCCTCGCGGCGAGCTGGGCTGTCACCTGTGTGTCTCCCTTCTCATCGGCGAGCTGGACTGGCGTCAGCCCGTCCCTGTTCTTGACCGCCAGGCTTGCTCCCGCTGCGCACAGGACCCGGACGATGTTCTGCGTGCTCTCCGACACGGCCTTGTGCAGAGCCGACTCCTTGTCGCCGTTGAGCCTGCCACTTGTCAGGCCTCAAGAGTGAAGAAAGAGGTCATAGTTACATGTTCACATCAGCTGCATTCTCGATGAGATGCTCTACTGTCTCACGGTGGCCTGCCTCCCAAGTTACAACCTTCTCCTCCCCTCCCCTCCGACTCTCGCCCCCTTCCCGTTTCCAATGCCACCGCCACTTACCTCCCATCACAGCCATCATCAGTGGCGTGTCTCCGACCATTGTCTGCGCGTTCACTGAGAGACCATGCTGGAGCAGCCATTGCACGGCCTTGGACTGCAGGACAGTGTCAAAAGCTGGCGAAGGAGTAGGAGGAGAGAAGATAGAGTGACGGGGATAGACGCAAGGGGGAGTGAGATGGCCGGCAGGAGACGACTCTTCACCTGCCCCTTCGCTGCAGCTGCGTGAATCGCACTCATGCCTACACAAGCGTGCGCTTCGCTGAATTCGAAGATGCTGGCAAAACAAAACTCAGATTGCAGGGGAGGAGTGGCGAGAGAGGACAAAAGACGAAAAGGAAGGGAAGGGAGGAGAGGGGAAGAAATTTCCAAGGTTGGAGGAGACTGGAAGGAAGAAGGGGAGGGGAATGGGTGGAGGGGAGGGAAGAAGGGGAAGGGGAAGGGGAAGGGGAAGGGGAAGGGGAAGAAGGGGTGGGGGGGAAAGGAGGAGGGGGGATCACCGGTGATTGCAGAAAGGACAGCTATAAGTGTGTGAAGTGTTGAAGTCATGGGAGGAGGACTTGTCGCATGATTCACACTGAACGACAATCTTGGACTCGAGCTTCGGCACCTTCACCGGCGTGTCAACATGGCATGCTTGCACATCACCTCCACAGACATGCTGACATCTAATCTATATCGAAACACGTTCTATGGTCATCCGAGCACTAGGCTGTGCCTGTTTGTTTGTGATTGACAACATCGACATCGACATCAACCGTGACAACATCAATCTTGTAGAAACTTAACCCCTGTCCTCGTAACAATCGGTCAAACTCACTGTGTACTTGATGTCCGCCCCTCGTTCTCGCAGCAGCTGCATCAGCTTGGTGTGTCCCTTGGACGCCTGAAGAACGATCATTCAGCGCAGCCTTCGCCCCCAGCAGACGCCTGCTGACCGCATGCATGAAGGGCGTGAAGACGAGCGTAGAGAAGTTTGGGTCAGCTCCGGCATCCAGCAAGCTCTGCTGGACGTCAACTGGTAGCTGAGGGAGCCACCACGTCCCTTCTCACCTCGACGGCCACGTAGCCATTGGCGGATATCGCTGTCATCAGCTCCTCCGCTTGCGTGCAGATCTCATGGCAGGACACGCAGACTCGGACGGGCTCTTGGTATCCATACTTGAGGAGAGGCACGCGGTACTTCTTCTTCCCACAGGAGCCGCAGATCACGCGTCCGCAATGCCGACTGGAAAGAAAATACGTGAGGAGGCGGAGAAGGTCAAGGGCTCAGAGAAGGACCAGTGGTGTCGCCTCTGCAGCATGTTGAAGCTCTTGCTGCATGTCGAGCAAACCTGCATGGGAAGGTGCTATAAGCACTATGCGCATAGCGTGGGGTTTATGCTCCATCCTCCTACCTTGGTACTCTTATCAGGCTGCCACTCGGGCCTCCAGTTCACGTTTGCTGTCGTGCCATTTGGGCCCCTGCATATGGCAGCCGGCTTACATGCGAACATGCTGATACGAGAGCAGGAAGTCAGAGTCTCGTCATACACAACACTATAACTTCTCGATATTTCCTCCTTCGTAATATTGAAACGCCTCATCAGGCGTTCATGGCTCATTTTGTTCGATGCCGCCCGTCCTCGTTATTTCCTTGCACCCTTTTCTTCCCCCCCTCCTTCCTCTCTCCTCCATCATCATCATCGTCTCTTCTCCTCTTCTTCTCTCCTCCTTCACTCCTCCCTTGCTTTCCTCCTTTCCCTCCATTCTTGAACAGCATAACGCCAGCGCAGCCGGGCCCCTTCTACCACCGGTGTCGTTCCTACGATATCACAAGGGGTGGGGTATCAAACCACCCCTTGTCGATGTGGGGGTGGAAATAATCTATTCAGAGGGGGTGGAGTCAACCACTGCCTTTTCTGCTCCATCGCATATTTTCCTATTACATCATTTCTGCCCCCGGAATGATAAGGAGAGATTGGGCGCGATGGCGTGAAGGTGAAGAAGAGCTTGGAAGGAGGCGAGGAGACGAAGGAGAAGAAGACCGGGAAGAGAGCGGGAGATGGCGAAAACACCGAGATGCATGGCGTGAGAAGCAGTGCCATGAGATGAGAGGAGGAGGAGGAGAGGGGGGACATACTGTCTGGAAGCTAGCAAGACTTCGAAGCTATGTCGTGCAAGGTGGGCTGAGGCAGAGTTGAGTTGGATGCTCCTGCTCCTCCTGGGATTCGGATCGCAGTAGCCCATCTTTGAGCAAGGAGACATCTTGGCTACCATGTACGAGACTACGTGCTTCCTGCTTCTCTTGTTCCTCTCCTCTTTCAGGAGGGCGCTCAGCACCAGCGCAGCGGACTTTGTCCTAAACTTCGGGAAGTACAGCGGGAAGAGCTTGAAGGAAGTCCCTCAAAACTACATCCAGTGGATGATCAAAGAGAAGGTCTACCTTGGCAAGCCTGAGCTCATGAAGGCTCTGACCGACATGAAACGATTGGACCCCGCCCCGTCCCAGGTGCCTGCCATGGCTCGCAACGAAGGGAATTACAAATTCCCTTCCTCCCAGCAGCCCCGGCACCCCACTGCAGACAGGCGGGACCAGCAGGAGAGGCCATCGTCTGTGAGGCTGGCACCTGGGACGATAGATTTCTACATGCAGAAAAACAACACGAACGTAGAAGGGATATACCAGAGAAACGGGACTGAATCGCCTCCTCCCTCCTTGACGAGTACGAGGCTCTACTTCTCCCTCGAGCTCGTCAGCCCCCATCAGTTCTCCCTCCGCTGCAGCGGGGTAGGGGCAGAAGGGCTGAGGATAGCTCTCCCGAAGCTCGCCACCCTCCTTCGGTCCTTCCCCCGCGCCTTCTTCAACATGACTTCGAGGAGCTGGTACGTGCATGTTGAGGACTACGATGCTGTCGTGAAGTTCCTGTGTGAGCTGGGATACAAACCCGGCAAGGAGCATGACGTGGACACGCTTCCTCGCTTCCTCCTATCGTACCTCCGCTCCAGGCCCCAGCTGCTCGCCGACGCTGACGTGGAGGAGGCATACTCCGCCCTTCCGAGCTTGCTCAAGTCCTCTCTGCTCCCCTTCCAGCGCGACGGAGTGAGGTTCGCTCTCAAGAGGAAGGGAAGAGTGCTGATCGGAGACGAGATGGGTCTGGGGAAGACCCTCCAGGCTCTCGCGGTAGCAGCAGCATACAAGAGGGAGTGGCCCTTGCTGATTATTTGCCCGTCCTCTCTCCGCCTCAATTGGGCGCAGGAGTGCAGCAGGTGGCTGGAGGGGATGAAGGAAGAGCCGCTGGAGGTGCAGGTGGTGATGAAAGGATCGGATGCGATCAAGGGAGTCGACGTGACCATCGTGTCCTACGACCTTGCCACCAGGATGTCAGACGCCATCAAGGCGTCGTCGTTCAAAGTCGTGATAGCCGACGAATCGCACTACATCAAGACGGACAAGGCGCTTCGCACTAGAGCATGCATGCCCCTCCTTCGCCAGGCCAGCCGAGCCATCCTCCTCAGCGGAACCCCAGCTCTCTCTCGCCCTGTCGAGCTGCTCAGCCAACTGCAGTGCCTCCAGCCGAAGATTTTCTCCTCCAAGAGAGAGTTTCAGCGGCGCTACTGCAACGCGAAGCAGGGGCGGTGGGGGCTCGACACGTCTGGCGCCAGCTGCCTGCAGGAGCTGAGCATCCTCCTGTCCAGCTCGGTGATGATCCGAAGGCTGAAGCGAGAGGTGCTGGTGGAGCTGCCAGCGAAGAGAAGGCAAAAGGTGTTCATCAACGTTGCCAACAAGGACTTGAAGAAGATTCAATCCATCATGAACAGAATTGACTCCGTCGACATGCGCCCTTCCTCTTCTCCTCCAGCTGGCCATGCTGGGGACGAGAAGGAGCAGGTTGGTGAAAACGGAGGGGAGAGGAAGCGTCGGCGAGGGTCCATGCTGGACTCGCTGATCACAGAAGCCTACCTTGAGACTGGCCTTGCGAAGTTACCGGAAGTTTGCTCTTACCTCGCCGACCTCATAGAGGGTGGCTGTAAGTTCCTGGTGTTCGCCCACCACCTCCAGGTGCTGGACGGCATCGAGCGCTTCCTCCTGCGCTCCTCCGTCAAGTACATCCGCATCGACGGGTCGGTGCCTCCAGCAGCGCGAGCTGAGCGCGTCAAGATGTTCCAGGAGGAGGAGGAAGTGCGAGTCGGCGTGCTGGGCATGACGGCAGCTGGGACTGGCCTGACCCTGACGTCGGCTGCTACCGTTGTCTTCGCGGAGCTCTACTGGACACCAGGGGTGATGATGCAGGCGGAGGACCGGGTCCACCGCATCAGCCAGCAGCTGCCTGTCAACATCCACTACCTGCTGGCGCGGGGAACAGCCGACGAGCTGGTCTGGTCATCCATCGTCAGCAAGGTGAAAATCGTCAGTTGGGCTCTAGACGGGAGCCAGCAGGCGGTCGGCGGGTGGTTGCCCGAGAGGGGGACGCCTGGGGGGTCAGAGAGGGTCAAGTTGGGGGAGAGTGGGGGCAAAGGCGATCAGTTGGATCTCGTCTCGTTCTTCTCGCAGCAGGTTTGCGGCATCTCTCTGCTCTGCTCGTTGCTGACTCTGAGCTGGGGTCGCAGTCGTCGCAGGTTGAGAGGGCGTGGACTGCAACTTACAACCCATCTAGGATGCGGCAGGGGAGCTCGAGCCCGGGGGGCTCGGGGCAGGGAGGGGGGGTGGATGGAGGTGGAGCAGCAGCTGGAGGACAAGCACGATCGGCGGGGGAGAGTGGGGAGGAGGGAGAAGTGGGGGAAAGTCAAGCAGTGGGAGGAGAAGGAGGAGGAGGGAACGGGGGCTCGATGAGCGCAAAGGAGGCTCTGGAGAACTTCTATGGAGATCAAGAAGTCGAACACCCGGCAGACTTCCTCTGTCCCATCTCTATGGAGGTGAAAGAGCAGACAGTGAGAGGAGGGGGGGGGAGAGATGGAAGAGCAGGAGAGCAGTGAGTGAGTGGTGGAGGAGGCGATGAAATCGTGGAGGTGGGAAAGGGAGGAAGGAGGACGGGAAGGGATGGAAGGGGGAGGACGGGAGGAGCAGGAGCAGGAGCAGGAGCAGGAGCAGGAGGACGAGGATGTGTGAGGAGAGCTTGACGAGGGATGGAGCAGGTGATGAAGGACCCAGTGATCGCGATGGACGGGCACTCCTACGAGCGACAGAACATCGAGCGATGGCTAGAGGACCATAACACGTCCCCTCTGACCAACCAGGTCTGACAGTTTGAGGAGGAGGACGTGGAGAAGTTGAGGGCAACAGCAAGAGAGGGAGGTGGGGAGTGGGGAGGAGGAGGAAGAGGAGCAGGAGGGGGGAGGAGGAGGAAGAGAAGCAGGAGGGGGGAGGGAGGGGGAGGAACTGACTTGACACAGAAATTGTCGAACAAGATGGTTGTGCCCAACCACAGGCTCAAGGTGTTTGTTGTTGATGTTTCGAGACTTTGGTGAGAGGTGACTGCAGGCAATCATCTCAAACTATCTCGAGAAGGCCAGGCAGCCGGTGTAGATTAGTCGCAGTGATTAGAATAACTTGTTATGACCAAGTCAAACGGGCCAGGTGTGAGAAGATGTGTAATGTGTCAACGAAAAGGTTGAGATAAGAAACAATCTCCTCCTCCTCCTCCTCCTCCTCCTCCTCCTCCTCCTCCTCCTCCTCCTCCTCCTCCTCCTCCTCCTCCTCCTCCTCCTCCTCCTCAATTTGGTTCGCTCCAGATGTCTTCATGACCATTCTCCTCCATCTCCCTCTCTCAATCACTTGACCATCCTTTGCTGAGCTCGTCCTTTCTGTCTTGTTTGTCTTCATGCTCGATCTTCTCATCGCTCTGCAAGCTGTAATGACGAAAACTGTCAGATGCAAACCTTGCTGAGAGGCAGGGCAGAAGAAGGGGAGAGGAAGGGAGCGAGGGAAGCGGGGAAGAGGGATAGGACGGGACGGGAGGAGAGGGAGGAGTAGAGCAACCTCTTGTTTTTCCTCATCTCTTCCTCGAACGACTCCCAAGAGTCAGTCTCCACATCTGACGAGATGTCTGCGTGCGTGAAGTGACTCAGTCAGTCAAGCATTCACTTCTCCTCACCTGCTTGTTGGACTTTCTTGGCCTTCTTCTTCATGAATGGCCTTGAGGTTCAAAGTCAGCTGTTACCCCCGTAACGAACAAGTCTACTCTTCGACGTCGTTGTCTTCCATGATCTCTGCTCCCGCTGTGCTCGAACGATCAGACGCAGTCGGGGGGTGGGAGGAGAATGAGGAGGAGGAGGAGGAGGAGGAGGAGGAGGAGGAGGAGGAGATGCAGAAGGAGGACGAGAAGAAAGAGGCATAGAAAACATACCGAACATGGGATGTTCGTATCGAATGGCGTAGATCTGTTTGATGAGCTCATCCGTGTCTACCACAGCACAGGTCAACTTCAACTCGCTACCTCCTCCTTGTCATCGTCTTACCCGTCTCGTTCGAGTTTCTGTCATCACTGTCTCTGCACGGGTCTCGCTTGTACCTGATGAGCAACTTTACCACGTCACGGTGGACTCGCATGCTTCTCTTGCCCGTCAGGCCATAGCGGGTCGGGGATCCATTCTGAGTTCTTGATCGCCTACATTCATCCATCAACTCGCAAGCGCCGACGGCTCGCGACAGACATTCTCCCTGTCATGTTTGGGACATTCACACCCGAACTCTGCAAGAGTAACGAGTCAGCTGGTCGACTTTGATCTGGATCAACCACCTAGGAGCAGCTTCGTTGTGTTCTCTCGTTTGAGGTCGATGGAATGGTCAAGGGCCGTGTAACCCTCGACGTCCAACGCGTTCCTGTCTGCTCCAGCCTTGCGTACCGTTAGCATCTGTACATGAGAACAACTCCCCCTACCTCGATCAAGAACTTGCATGTCTCCGTTCTCCCGTAGATCGCAGCAGAATGGAGCGGGGTCATTCTATTTCCATCCTGACGGTGCCGCTGCGTCAGCATCATCAGCTTCAACGCCTGCACTTCACCTTAGCCTGGATGTCTCCCCCGTGATCGAGCAGGACTTGGAGGGTCTTGACGTTCCCCTGTGCGATTAAAATGAGCAGAAAACCTCTCTCCTCCTCGACCCGTTCTCACTCTCTGCGCCGCAAGATGCATGGCCGTCTGATTCCACCTGATCATCCTCTTGTTAGTCCCCAGACTCTACCACGTCACAGGTTCTACTGCTCTGGGTCCGGTGCGTTCACCGCGATGTTGGATTGGCTCAAGACCTCCAAGAGCCAAGGGACAGCTCCTGCGCGCTAGTCAGCTGCTGCCTTCCTCCTTCCTGATCGTTGCACCACCCACCTATCCTGATCGCGTGCTGGTATTTGCTCCACGCATCCGGCAGGCTGAGGGAGGCAGGGATCAAGGGCGAGCGAGGAGCAGGATTTCTTCTCTCACCTGTCAAAGGTTGATCTCTCTCTCATCTCCTTCCACCACGTCTTGCTCCTGCCAGCAAATCAGATCATCGGGCTGCCGGGAGCAAGCGACTGGCTCACGAGATTCGAAGGTTCCAATCCTGGTCTGGATCCCACCCGCTTGGGACCTCTTCTGGCAAGTGGAGGAGGAAGAGGAAGTCAGACTGATCGGGAGGAGCAACGTTGAGCTGATCTATCTCCTCTGAGTCTGATAGTCCACCAGCAGGAGGCGGCCCCGCAAGTTCAACAGGCTCCAACCCCTCCTCCCCCTCATCATCATCATCCGCAAGCAAATGCTTCGTCTTCGAGTTGCGCCCAGAGGCATCCTTTCCTCTCCTCCCTCCTCGCAGCTGCATGACGTGTGAAAGCCTAGGAGGGACCCCAGGCTCCGAGGAGCTCCTGAACCGCATCTCGCAGCTCGTTGCTGTTGACAGAGCATGGCGGTTGGAGCGCCATGGCATGGACTGTGGGTGTTCGTTTGCATCCGTTTGCAGGCACAGCGCGACGACGAGGAAAAGAGAGAATTTCATGAAGGAGCTCTGCATTTCTGTCCTTCTTTTCATGGTGGAAGGCTTGAAGCCATCGCGGGAGCGGAAACGGTTCTGCCAACAAGTTGTCAGGACGACAAGACTGAAAATCTTGCTCCCATCGCAAGAGCACGAGGGCTGACATGAGGGCGATGTTTGTCTTTCGTTTTCATTTTGTTGAGGTGTTCATCACAACATGATGGATACAAAGTCTCTCCCTGAACTCTCGCTTCCGATCGTTGGAAACCAGCCGCTGTCCTGATGCGGCGTCCCCTCCCCCGTCTAGTCGCTCTCGGCCCCGTCGAGCCATCCTTACCCTCCGTCCCGCCCCCTCTATCCTTTCCCTCTCCTGAACTTCTCCACCATCAAGGCTATGGCGCTGCTTTCACTGCCCTCCTACCTTGCTTCCCTCCTCTTCCCCTCCCCTCCCAGCACCATGCTCCTTTTCATGCTCCTCCCATCAGGCTCCGGCGACCCGGTGGAGCCCGATCCCGGCCCCGGCCGGGCCGCGATCGGAGCCTGGAGAACCCGGCCGGGCCGGGCCGAGTTTCAGACGGTCAGCGGCCGGTCCATGATGATTCTGACACGGCAACTGATGTCAGACTCGGTGGTGAGGCGTTGAGGAACTCGGGGCCCGGCCCGGCGAACCGGGCCGCCCGGCGCCGGTCACCGGGTCACCGCGCGGCACCGTGGGGTCACACGGTTGGCACAGGCTCCCAGGCTCCGAGTGGTCCGGTGACCGGGTCACGGGTGGCTCAGCGGCAGTCTGAGTGAGTGCGGAGTCCCGGATCCGAGGGGGGTGACCGTACCACCCGGCCGTGGCACGGCCCTCCAGTCCCACCGGGATCCGACTTAATTGCCGTCCGAGTCGGGAGTTGAAATCAGTGATCGCGACAGTTCAATGATACCGGGTCCGAGTCACTGAATAACGTTTACTATCTGATCGGGAACAAGCCGGCTTGAAGGCTGTGACTCGCCCTCGGAAATTATCTAGACCTGGGCCGACGGGGACTCGGAAGACTTTCAGCCTCTCTTTACTCAAAGTTAAGTTAAAAATCAGTATCGGAGCTTTTAGAGCTTTTTTTTCGGAGCGGCTCGAGAGCTGCCGTCACCGCAAACTTGTTTATGTGAAGGAGTACCCCGGAAGCTGATGAGGGGTATTCCTGGGGGAAGAGGGGGGTGGGGGGTGGCTTCGGAGTATTTAATTTCTCGCTGCAAAAATAGAAGGGAGGGAGGGGAGGGAAAAATGAGGGGACGGGGAGGGGGAGGGGGAGGGAAAGATGGTTGTGATGATGTTTCGAGGGCAACAGGAGAGATCGATGTTCGAGAGATGAGAGGAGAAATCAGGAAGAAAGGGGAGGAACAATGGGTTTGACCTGGTCTGTCATTTCCTCCGCTTGCTTGTAAATGTCTGAATCATTCAGCGAGCGTGAGAGTGAGTGAGTTAGAGAGAAATGTGAATGACAAGGAAAAGATGGGAAGCAACGGCGTCACGTAGATTGTAGATGTTAGCTCCCGAAATCAGAAGGTCAGAGCGAAAGATTGAAATAAAAAGATACCAGTGGAACGAAACTGCAAAGTCCTAGCTGATCCATGATTTCTCAGTCAAGTTCAGCCCGAACTTCCTTATGAAGGCTGGCTGGCTTCCAAAGGTGGTGAAGAGCTCGACTAAGGCGTTAGTCGATCAAGGTACCTTCGAGGACAAGGAGGCTGATGAACAGCTGTCCAAAGCGGCCGGGAGGAGGAGGACAGTTCAGGTTTCTTGCATCTCGTGCAGGCTGAGCAAGGTGAAATGCGAAGGCAACCTCCCTTGCAGGTAGAAGAGGAGCTTCAGAGCTGAAGGAGAATGAGCTGAGTACACCTGTTGCACAGGAGGTGCATCTATCGAGGGATTGCAGACTCCTGCTATCATGCTCGTGGAAGGGTCCGCGAACGAGACCCAGAACTGGAACAGGCTGAAAGGTGGGCGAACGAAGATCCTGAAACCATCGAGAGGCCAATCAGGTATGCTCGAGACCCTTTTGTTTATCGTCCGAGGCTCGACGCCGATTCCATCGAGGCTCCCACGCTCTTGCGCAGTCTTTGCTTCGACTTTGTGAGTAGCATGTGGAATGTGGTGGCGGGTCGCTCAAGTGTTTGATCAGGGAGTGAGTGAGAAGAAAGCAGAAGACATCTTCAAAGTTATGCCTCCTCGCCTCAAGAACATCATCTGGACTGGGTTTACCGCATTGGAACAGCTCAAACAGCTGGAAGCTATGAAGCTGGCGCAGGTCAACCCTCCCCCCGTCCTCCCACCTGGACCCAGCCAGCTGATCGGCCTCAAAAGCTGGCATCACTCAGCACGATGCGGTTACCGTACCATCGCAGTGGATCCTGTGACGGAGCGATGGATGACGTGCGATGTCAACCAGTGGTTGGCTGACCTCGCCGGGGTCCATCGAGAAGAGCTGTGCAATCGCATCGCGAACCAAGACATGGTAATGCCCTCCTCCGAGCTACGACAGCTCTGTGCTCACCTTACAGCGATCTTCGACCAAATGGACGTCAAGTCCAAGCACGGGTTTCAGGACGGCACCAAGACGTACTGGTACTGCCGTTGGGGCAAGAACTTCTTGAGAGAGCCAGAGGGGGAGGGCGTGATAGTTCGCTCCTGCTTCACTGTCAACGTCAACGAGCTGGGAAAATTTAGTGGGGGGACACACACGATGGTGGTCGTCACTGAGGACGAGTACGACCGGGTCGCAGAGAAGAGCCCCGACGAGTGTGAAGCCCTGGCTGCTGCTGTCGTGGGACGAAAGTCTGCCAGAGAGGTAGAGCAGACTGACCCAGCTCCTGCCGCCCAGCTGACTCCCTGCCGCAGCTCATTTCCAAAGACCTGATGCGAGACGAGAAGATCGAGGTCATGGCAGAGACTGAGTTCGGCTGCAGGCAGCTGGACAGACTGGCAGAAATCCTTGAGAAGAAGTTTGCGCCTGTTATCGCCATCGCGAACCAGATATTGCCGTTGCCCCCGAGCGCCGCCTGTACTGCATTTTCAAGTTGGGGCAGTGACGACGGTGTCTAGCCGCTCAGTGCCGCCGCATCGCCGGGCCCGACGATCGGTCGCGGGGGCGCCGTGACGCCGCCGGGTCACGGACCGTACTGTGATTTAGTAGCCGCTGAGCCGCTCAGTGAAACCTGACTCTGTGAGCATGGATAACTCTAGCATGACAACACACTGTGTTGTCATGCTAGAGTCACATCTTGATGATCACACAAGCTGCTGCTGCTGCTGCTGCTGCCGCCGCAGTGCTGCTGCTGCTGCTGCTGCTGCTCTGGCTGCCAACGGTGCGGCGCCCTGAGTCAGCTTGGCACGGTGAGAGCAGTGGCGCAGCCAGTCGCCCGGTACAGTACTGCCGACGGTGTGCGCCGGCGTCCCCCACGGTGACCGCCCCGCCGCGCTACGGTACTACTCCGACCGTGACGGCGGCCCGGCCTGCGGCGGCCCGTTCATGGCGTCACTGCTGCTCCGGCTGATCGGTTTAGTTGAACGTGACGCCAGGTTGTACGGTAGTACGCGGCAGCAATGCTGAGAGGCAGAGTCATCGGGAGTCAAGTCACCGGCTTACGTGCCACCCGGGCCGGGCCGCCGGGCCCGGCCGCAGCGGGCGGCCCTGCTGACAGGCTGGCCGCTGAGGGGGGTCAGTCCGATCATCTGTGCACTGGGTCAATCATGGCAGCAAATGAGCGGGGATGAGGTAACTCCAGGCGAAGATTCAGTGGGGTGGGGTAGTGACCAGAACATCTAAAGCAGGGGGTACATTATCATGTAATTTCGAGGGTACGGGTAACCTTTGAGGGGGTAATCAAAATCAAGTGGAGGGGTAATCAGGTTGCCAGAAATAGATGATGCTGGACCGAGAGACGGGAGATGGCGAAGGAGGGCTGAGATGTAGGAGGGAGAAGGCGTGAGAGGATGTCTGATCCCTTTGAAGAGACCATGTGTAGCACGTGCAGGGAGACAGGAGCACGAGCTAGAGGAGGAGAGGAGCAAGGTGCTGAACGAAGGAGGTGTTCAATGTTTCTTGTCAGCTCAGAAGCCGAGTCAGTTTGCTTGCTTTGAAGTGATTGATACATGGCATGAGAGATGTCAAATTTCAATCAGGTTGTTTAGGATGGAGGCACAAACTCAGGGGCCCCTTAGTTTCCCACACGTGCGATTGGGTATGTTGGAAGCAGCACGTTGAGAATAGCGAGTCCAATTCAAGGGTTGACCTATACAAGGGTTGACCTCTAAGATTGATTCTAATGAGCAACATGCTTCAATTATTTCATGGCTGCATGCAGAGATATCACGATATCTCACATAATTGACTTCACTCCAACCATGCCAATGTCTTGTTTTCGTCTTGCAATCGACTGACTCTCTGCCAGAATGGTCTTCAAGCTCATCACCACAATGCTCCAGGCCACTGATGGCGGCGCAACTCCAGCAGCCCCTGGCTCCATCACTGACACGTACAATGCCACACAGGTGTGTGGACTTTTGTCTCCTTGTGTCTGTGTGGCTCCCAGACTAACTTGTCGTCAGGACGTCAACATCATCGACGCCCCTGCTCCTCGTCCTGATCAGCTTCCTATGGGATCATCAAGAAACACCTGGCCCAACATCGTGAACAACAAGGTGAGTGGTTGCGTGTTGCTACATGCGTGTTGTGATGCCGTCTGACAGCGCACCGTTATCTTCTGCACTACTCAATTTTCTTACCTTCGCAACCGTGAGAACTGCATTCATGACTTCACCGGAGGCCCTCTCCTCGCCTAAAGGCCCTCACGTGTAGCCATGCACACCATGTTTCACGTGTAGCCATGCAAACTATGTACAGGGACAGAAGGTCTTGCAAGTATCTTGACGATTAAAGATGCACCCAGCATGTCGATGAAAGGGAGAGTTTGTGGTTGCAGACAAATTCAATCATGTCAATGCTCTTGTTCCTTCTCATGAGGACCTCGTGTCTAGTAGTCGCCTCCGCTTCCTCCAGTGCGAGCATACACTGCTCCATCACGCTGAGCACGGAAGACAGCACGTCGGTTCAGGTCCGTGATAGAGTTGATCGTGGAGAGAGCTGAAAGACAAGAGTCAGGGAGGGGATGGGGCTAGCAAGGGGGTAGCGCACCTGTTCCTCTTGCTGCTAGCGAGGCACGTCTGCATGCTCGGTCACAAGACACACGTTCATCCATGTGAGTCGACTCACCTGCCCTCGTCTGGATCCTCCAGGTGATTGAGAACAGGGGGGATCCTCTGCTCAGCGGGTCAGTCGCTGGGCTTCCTCCTGCTGCCCCTCCCTCCTTCTCCTGCTGCCCCTCCCTCCCCCCGCCCCCCCGCCCCCCCGCCCCCGCCTCGTCCACTGGCTCACGATCGTCCTGTGCTTCCTTTGGTCTCACCTGCTTTGCCTCCTTGAGAAGATACTTGAGGTCGAGTAAGATTTGTTCCGAGCAGTTCTTATTGATGAACGTGGTGGCTACTCCAGTCTTCCCGCACCTCCCCGTTCTTCCGATCCGATGCACATAAGTCTCGATCTCCTTGGGCATGTCAAAGTTGATGACGTGCTGCACGTCAGGGAAGTCCAGGCCCTTGGCGGCCACGTCGGTTGCTACGAGCACATCCGCCTTGCCTGCGAGGTAAGTCTGTCAGGCACTAGCCATCGCCTCCTCCTCCATGCTTGCCGTTCTTGAACTGCCTCACAGCCCACTCTCGGTCCTCCTGCGACTTCCCGCCGTGCGAGCTAACAGCATCCACGCCCTTGAGGAGGAGGTACTCGTGAATATCGTCCACGTCTGCCTTGTTCTCGCAGAAGATCAGCGCCTGGAGGAGAGAGATGAGCAAGAGGATGGAGAGAGGGGTAGAGGATACAGGAGGAGCAGTCTTCTGCAGGCACTCGAGCAAGTAAACGATCCTTGCCTCTTGTTTGACGTACTCGACCTCCTGCTCGCACTTTCAGGAGGATAGGAAGAAGCACAACCCGGACATGAAGCAGAAGGTGAGAAGCAGGAACTGTGTGTGTGTGTGTGTGTGTGTGTGTGTAGGGCGAAAGGCGGGTCGGCAGCAAGACCTGGATAACGTCAAGGTTGGCAGCTCCGGCTCGTCCAACGTTGACCAACACCGGCTTCACAAGCGCTGCAGAACAAGTCAAGAGGAGGGAGGGGGGGGCGAGGAGGATGAGGAGAAGTGAGGAAGAGCAGTGAGGATGAGGAGGAAGAGGGAGGAGGGAGGAGGGAGGAGGGAGGAGGAAGAGTGAGGATGACGACGGAGGGGTCAGCCGACCTGACTTCGCAAAGTTCTGGATGTGGAGAGGCATCGTAGCAGAGAAGAGGAGGGTTTGTCGTTGCCCCTTGAAGTAGGAGAGGATCTCCCTGACCTGCCCCCTACCATCAGTCGAACACGCCGAGGGTACTGCAGGACACAATAGGATCCACCTCTTCCTCAAACCCCATGTCGATCATGCGATCTGCCTCATCCAATGCAAGGTACCTGACGTTCCCATCAGTCAGGGAGAACTGCTGGAAGCAAGATGGAGACCTGCAGAGGTCAAGGCGCAGCCTCCCCTTCCCCAGAAGGTCCATGAGTCGACCAGGAGTCGCTACCACACAGTGAACTCCCCCGGCTAACACGTCCCCCTACACAGATGTCAACCGGACTTCAGATGGCAGCACAACCTCGAGAGAGTTCTTATCTCTCCCAGTCTCTCTTTTGCATCTTTCCCCCCTCATCCCTTCTTCAGATTTGTCATCGCTGTGCCTCCTACTTGTATCCCTCTCCCCCACCCACCCTCCTTGCTCATCCACCTCTTGCCCCATCTCTTCCTCGCTCAATCGCTCCTCACCTGCTCACGGAGGTCGATCCCTCCCATGCACAGCAGGCAGCGGAGAGGAGGAAATCCTCCGAAGCCGAGGGCATCGCAGTGCTCCTTCATGACTTCATACGTCTAGCACGTGACAGGTCAGCCACTACACACACATGCCTGCGATGACGTGACAGCACCTGCCTCGCCAGCTCCCTCGACGGGTTGATACAGAGCCCGAAAGGTCCCTCCCCTCTCGCAATCGGCATCTTCGTTTCCTGCAGCCAAGAAGTCACAGGAGTCACGCTTTCTCCCTCGGACCGACCTGCTCCAACGCGATCATCACCATAGGGAGAGAGAAGACTAGGGTTTTTCCGGAGCCCGTGAAGGCGATCCCGATCATATCTCTTCCGCTCAGAGCGACCGGAAGGCCCTGGACCTGGATGGGAGTTGGGCGTTCGATGCCCTTGGCCTTAAGCAGGTCAAGAGTCGGTTTCGGAAACCTCATGTCCTTGAAGTCCTTGATTGGAGGAGGTACGTCCTCGCCTTCGACTATGATGTGCCACTTCTTCCTCAGCCTGTCCCTCTCCTCTTCCGTCGTCTCTCGCAGGTGCCTCGGGGGCCTCCAGTCCGTCTTCATCGGCTCCGTGTACTTCACGTCGTTGGCAAGCTCTTGCACACCCATCAGAGCCTTCTTCTGCGAAAGATCCTCCAGTGTTTGCTCGTCGACTTCGTCCGTTGCCTTCGGAGCGTCAAGGTCGATTCCCATCTTCAAGAGCTCTGCCTTCTCGTCCAGCAAACTCTTTCTCACCGTCTGCAACACCATCGTCAGCATTTTGCCACACAGCACAGGGAGTAACAACCGTGGTCGCCTCCTCCTCCTCAACGGCAGCCTTTGCTACTCTCGTCCCTCTCTTCGCTGCAATCTGTTTCAGAAGAGCTTTCTTGCGAGCTGCTGCTGGCACAAATTCGCTGCCTTCGTTCTCATCGTCCTCGTCCCCGCCTGTCATCAACCCCTGGCTCTGCGCCTCGATCAGCTCAGACCTCAGCTCGAAGTCCGGCTTCATCATGGCTTCCTCCTGGTCAGCCTTCAGCACCTTGGCCAGGTACTTGGAGGCAGCCGAGGAGACTTTCTTTGTCTCCAACGTCTTGGCGATGGTTTCATGAGGACGGATGGGAGGGTCCGAGTCGAAGGGGAGGCGAGACTGATCCCTTGGCGCATGTTTGTGCTTGTCCGCATGCTTCTGTTTCGTCGCGTTCTCGTCATTACGGAGGCTCCCTTTGCTGGCATCTACTTCTTTCCTCGCACGCTTCGCCTCCCTCTCCTCGCCTTTCTTTGGGCCATGGTTTGAACGACGACTTGAGCCCTTAGACGAGGAAGACGAGGCTGAATCAGAGGAGGAAGAGGAGGATGAGGAGGAGGAGGAGGAGGATGATGATGATGAAGAGGAGGAGGAGGAGGAGGAGGAGGAGGAGGAGGAGGAGTCCGAATCAGAGTGGCTGTCCTCGTCCTTTCGCTTTCCCATCTTTCAAGCCAATTCAGTGCTCACTCCTCCTGTCGTCAAAAAATCAATCGTCTTGCGAAAAACAAAAGTGGGGAGACGGGAATGCATGTGAGCAATAACATATTTCTCACAAGATTCCAACTTAAATTCATCTCTATCTTGCAGCTCAATCTCTTCTGAACTAAGCTCTCTGCTTCTCGCCTCAGTTCCCCTTCAACCCCATTTTTCTTATTTTCCGTCATATTCTCATCTGTTACTGCCCCTCAAACCTCAACCTCGTCTTCTCTCAACCCCTTCATCTGTTTCCCTTCATTCTTCTGCACCTGCACCTCAGCATCGAGCGAGAGCACGTTTTCAGAGAGGACAGCAGTTCGCGCCATCTCTCTGCTGGCACTCAAGTCCACTCATCGCTCCGGCCTCGCAACGAGCTTCTACTTGTCTCTCAGTGCCATGTGCCTTCTCCTCCCTGCGCTCTTGCATGCATGTCGCCTACCCCCGCTTCCCTCTCTGGATGGCACTACCCCCCTTAGGATAGTAGTACCCCATCCTTCAAGAATAGCACCCCCTCATATCCCTTTCATTACCCCCTGTTTTAGTAGTATTTCCCCGGCTACCTGATGTGGTACCCCCCAGACACTGTTTTCTGGATCTGGTCAGAAATTTCAACAGGATCTGCAGGAGATCTTTTGTCCTAGCTCGGGCTGAGCGATCTGCCCGAGCAAGGAGCAAGGACCTCTTGCAGATGGTTGTTAGATGTATGTCTTGCAGATGGTTGTTAGATGTATGTCTTGCAGATGGGTTGTGAGATGTATGTCTTGCAGATGTGTTGTTAGATGTACAGTAATGTGTTTTACCCGCACAAAATAAAAAGTGCCTCAAGCAGAAGAAAGCAGGAACAGGTGTATGTCTTGCAGATGGGTTGTGAGATGTATGTCTTGCAGATGGGTTGTTAGATGTAAAGCTGTCTCCTAGCTCTTCAGTCTCCGACCTTGCTAGGCTTGTTAAACAAACCGATGCTTTCCTTCGCCTTGCCACCCTCCGCTCCCCACCTTCCTTGCCAAGACAACAGTCATGATGTATATTGTGATCATGGTCACATGTGTCTGGACGCTGATAGAAGGCTCACAACCTGCAGTCGATACATCTCCCCTCTCTTGCTAATCCTCATGCCTCTGCAAAAACTATACGAAAGCTCCGATAGAGCTTCCTGCCTCCCTCCAGGCCCTTCGTCCTATCCTTGACCGATCGGTCCCTGCAGGCCCTTTGTCCTATCCTTGACCGATCGGTCGTGATCAATGTTCACGTATAGAGCTCTCCGCCAGTCCTACAATCCTGATCTCCTCTCCATAGCAGCATTTGCTGAGGCATCATCCTCCCTCCCTGTAGGAAATCTGTTGGCTCCTTCTCATAAGTTCTCCTCGAGCTTGCAACAGTCTACGAAGAGACCATGCTCCCCCTTCTGCTTACCGCACCCTTCCTCGTGGTGGCTGCTCTCGAAAGCGACGGTCGAGAGCACCTGCTATACAAGAGAGCAATCGAGAGAGCAAAGAGAGCGTGTGAGAAACGGACTTTTGTCACACGCTGGACGATGATAATTGCAGAGGCTGTACAACCAGCAGCCAGATCATCTAAGTTTGTAGTCAGACAGGGACCCATCCTCGTTGCCTGGCTCTGGTGAAGGTTGCCAGTACTTTGCCTGTAGGTCCTCTTAAAGGGGTGTTTCAAGACAGAGGTCGAGGACGACAGCTCATACACTAAAGAATCATTTTATTCGCCAGGGAGGCAATTTTGTCATTGCATGTTTACTGAGTCTGTTGAAGAATTCCCCAAAGACGACCAAGATTATTCATGTTGTATGGAGCCTACACAACACTTACAAAATTCATGATCTCTTCCCTTTCTCAAGTCCTTCGAATATATGATCGGGCTTTTTTCCCTCGCCATGTCACTTCATTGTACAAAAAATCTCACTCCTCAACTTTGCAAGTTTCAATGGTATCCTGCCTACGGAATTCTAGTTTTTCGAATCAATATACCTGTCTTTTTTTCGACATCTGATATAACGTTTATACTGAAATCGAGAGAATGCTCGGCTTTGAAATTTGTATGATAGCAGTAGAGAACATAAAAGAATCAATCTCTTCTAAGACATAATCGAGGCATTCAGGCCATGAAGACAGTAATCTTTGTCATCGTAAACTCACATTTCGCTCTCGTCAGCTCAAAAACACTAGTGCGATGATCAAAGGCCAAACACATTCGTATCGAGGAGGAAAGGACAGCGATGCCATGAGCCTGAAGAGAGCTGAAGGAAGACACCGAGAGGAGGCAGAGGTTCCTACATGTGGTGAACTATGGACGGTGCGCTATACGATACCTGGTCTTAACTTTGAGTAAAGATTGCCTGGTCCCCTTTCCCCACCTGCCGGGGAAGGGATTCTCAAAATGCTTTTAAAAACCACCTTTCGGCCTCCAAATCCCCAACGTTTCAGAAGCTAGCTCTCAAGACGTAGTAAAGATCAGTGTAGCATCTGAGATTAGTGATGGACATAAGAAATCGAGCACCCTTACAGGTACTCACGAACGCTATATTATTTGAGGCTGTTTGATCAGTCTCTTCCTGCCGTTGAACTGCTGCGTCGCACAACACTTTCCGTCCCCCCTTCCCTCCTTTATCCGTTGACGCCCCTCTGCTCTCCCTCCCCCCGCCCTCCTGCCCACTACCTGCCGTGCTCGTATCCTTGTGTACTTGCATCAGAACACCTGCTCCGAGAAGAATTCGTCTTTGGCTGCCGTCAGGAAATCAGAATGGTTGGCTCGCAGCATTACCGGTTCGGGTAATTCCTGCCAGTTAACAGGGATCTACAATGCAGTTGTCAAAGAGACCTTCATTCATTTTTATTAAGATCGAAACAATATTTCAAAAGCCAGGGATAAGATTTATGCATCATGATTTTAGTCCGTGCTGATACCTTTTTATTGACCATCGTGCTGTCGATCGCGGTGGTAACCGAAAGCAATCCGATTTACCTCAGAAAGGAGCAGAATGCTGGTTCTGCAGTCAGACAGGTTCCTGACCAGTGCATTGTAGCTGAAAAGGATCCGAGCAGAAATCGAAATCACTTGAGGTTGAGGGGAGGAGTGGTGGTGGACGTCAGCCATCACGCCTTCCAGCACCCGTCAAAGTCTCAGCCCGATGCTCCAATACCTCTGCAAGAAAGCCACAAGCTGTTTCCCGGAACGAAGCGACCAAAGCTGAGTAGGACCATAGAAGACGCTTGTTGATGCTCAGCTTCTTACACGACGCAGAGCCGATTGATCGCTACGGCGGGTTATGCTCGAATCTGTTTATTGTTGTTGTTGTTGTTGTTGTTGTTGTTGCTGTTATTGTCGTTGTTGTCATTGAAGATTTCACAACGTGATGAGATATTAGCGCATGCACGCTTCAGCTTACCATACCGGCTCCTAGACTCAATTTCAGCTATTGTAGACGCACTGCACTGCACACTCAAACGTAATATTGGTTGAGTCTGGGCAGTGATTATTATAGGCAGTACTTCAAAACTTGCCATTGCCAAGTGTCGTACACTGCCGAACTGCCGAACTGATTGGATGACGGTTTCAAGTTTTGACTTCATCATTCTGCAACGGCGATTGATCAACCCGATGCCACACGTGACACGTAGCCTGATTATCTCATGACTGGCCGATCATCGGCGGCGATGTATCAGTAGTATTGCGGCGCCCGGGCCCGTTAGATGCCATCATCGATGCCGCTGAAGCACTGTGACTGCTGCAGTGGACCGGGTACGCCGACCGTCTGGGGCAACGGGTCACAGCTCCCCACTGGCCCGGGGTTCAGTGGCACAGCTGCGCGGCCGGGGCGCCCGGCCGCCACCGCGGCGGTCACGGTGCTGATCGCTCACAGAGTCAGCAAAGACGGTGCATGATCTGGGTGCATGATCATTGACTTAGAGTCTGAGCAAGGATTGGTGCAAAGTCACAAGTTACGGTCGGGGGCCGGTCTGTGACGAGCCGTGACTGGCACGAACTTGGATCAAGTTTGGATGGCCTCGTCACCGCTCACTCCGACGTCAGACGTGTCAGATGGCAGCCCCTCGACGTTAGTACCTATTTTACTACCAGTGAGGCAGCCCCCGGCGAAACTCGCGAAACGGTGTGTCTTTAGGTCTATCTCCCGCAATCCATCCCCGCTTCGCCTCCTTGAAAGTCGTGTCCTCCCAGTCTCGCATCGCTACCATCCACACACACACACGTTGCGACCTTGTTCTCACTCCACACAATCTCACATGGCACATCAATCCATCACGGTCCAAGCAAGGAGAATGATCGGATCAAAAAGACACACCTACAATGTCACGCTCGACCTTCAGACCATCACGCCGCTCTTCTCCAGGCGACAAGAAGAAGCTGCTGCGTTTCTAGTGAGCAGTCATACTATTTCAGCACTATGTATGTGTGACGTTTGCTACTCAGGGACTTTCATTGACGTCTCTGAAGGCTGCTTGTCGAAAACTCGGCATTTTTCGATGGCCATATACCCGTCCAGGCTATGCTTCGCATGGTTCCAATAGCTCTTCAGGCGATGATCCCAATAGCTCTTCAGGCGATTCGCATGAGAGCATAGCTGTATACACCCCTGAACCGACAGAGGCAAGCTCATCTGCTGCACTTGACCTTATCGAGAATGCATCAGGAACAGAAGGTCTGAATGAAATATTCGATGGATTCTTGCCAGCATCAAACGATGAGATGGTAACAGAAATCGCCTCGTCTGTGTCGAACGAAATTCTTGATAGCAGGTGGCTCTCATGGTTTATCAACTGCGATGAAACAAGTTCAATCAGCATAGATGACGATGAGTGATGGAGTTGGGCAACTGAGCGGCACTCCTTGGCGGTACGGTATGAGTCAAGACTCCCATTGCAGTTGGTCAATTGTGATCGCCTCTCGAATGAAGTTCTCATACCGTACTTGGTGAGTGAAGCCGCTCTCAAGATGCCGTAACAGTTCAACGCCGCTCTCACATCTCAGCCTTGTTGCCAAGTTGGTTCAACGGTTCAAGCTCTGTATCGACTTAGTTACCGTACGATCATGAATCGACTCAGTTGCATCTTCGTGCCATGATCGGTTTCTCGTCACGTTCAGGTTAATCACAATAGACTCAGTCGCGCGACTGAGTCGTGGCGGCATCCGAGTCCGGCGGGGGCGACAGCAGTGCAGCACTGAGTTGATGATTTTTAACTTTACTTCGAGTAAAGATGATGATCGGACTCGTGATGATCGGAGAGGCAAACATGGTGAGGCAAACTTTGAAACATGGCTCCAAGTCGGCCGGGTCGAGCCTGTCACTGACGGGCCCGGCCCGGCGCCGGTTACTATCGAGTCACGGTTCAGGCTGCTCCCGGTCCGGCGCCGGAGCCTCGGAGTTTTACGATGGTATTGATAGTACAACAAGTACCAAAGTAAAAAGCAAAAACTTAGTAAAGTACTACTTTCTAAAACTATTTACAGCGATCCATCTACAAATAACTCATAAATTATTATATTATTATATTATGATTTATTCGTCTGAATCCAAGAGGCAAATATGGTGAGTTGGAGAGAGGAACTGAAGGGGCGAAAAGAGGAGGAGAGGGATGTAAGGGGGAAGAGGAGGTTGGGAGAAATGCATACTGTAGATATGGATAGAAATACAATCAGGGAGACAGAGGCAGAGACAGAGGCGGAGATGACAGTCATTGGCGACTGTAGCTGTCGATTTTTTGACTCCTGATGAGCGTCAATTTAGTTGCACCATTTGTTGTATATCGTTACTCTCTTTTTGTTGCATCTGTTCTCTTATTTGTAATCCTCTGTACATTTACCTGACTATGTCAACATACTTCATTTTTCGTGACAAGCTTTGACAGCTCTTCACTGTTCTGTTTGGCAACAACCACACAAAGCTCGTCGAGGAAGCTCAGAATGAATTCGGAACTGTGAGCGAACTAATTTTCATGGTTGATCTCGTTGACTGACCTCCATGTATGATAGGACTCCCTGAACAGCAACGTTCAGCAATTGTTTCACCTCCAAAACTTCCACTAGATTGCTTGAGAGATTAAGCTATGAATCGAAAGATTTAAGGTATAAATCATAACAAGTATCAATGACACAGCGAGGTACATCTCGCTAATAATAAGCTCCGTGTTTGCATTCACGAGGTTATCAATGAGTTGAGCTCTCGTGATGTTGTTCACGCTCCAAGAGCTCTTCGCATTCGGCGATCCGTTTCGAGCATTGCTGCAAACGCAAGAGATTAATTGACACGCTGAACACCCTAAGAGAGATGGATTACCGCGCTTTCGTCCCTCATCCCGACTCTGGCATACTCATCTCTAGCCACCTGACAAAGACTCGTCACCACGCAACACCACCTTGAGTTTGATTTGTACCTGCAAGTGTTCGATTGCACCGAAATAATCTTCCGCTTCGAAATGCGAATCTGATATCGCCGACATCAGCCCGAAACAGCCGAAAATCTTTTGACAATACCGGCATTCTCCAGAGCGTGCTTGGCCATGCTGACCGCGGCATCTCGCTGCAAACCGAAATGTAACACCCTGAAACAATACACTCTCTATGTTACAAACCTGGGCTTTGGTCTTCTCCGCCAGCATATCTGCAATTTTCTCAAAATCATCAAGCTGAACCTAGAAAACAATCATAGAGTCATCCATTCGCGAAATTGTCTTGGAGATAATCACCGATTCCTCAAGATGCAGGATCCCCTTCTTAATCTTATCTTTGGTTATCCTCGCGAGATCCTGCAGGAGAAATCGCTCGTCAAGCATCATCGTTTCTGCAAGCATTTCTCTCACGACCTCAGGCGTATGGCCTGACTTGTCTGGCATGTTCGCAACTGCACCTAAATCCAAGAGCATGTGGGCAGCGTGCACCCTGCCATGCCTGCGAGATCTCTCAGCTCAGCAAGGGAGAGGATGCAGGAGCTACCGAACGGCGAAGTGCAGTGGAGACCATCCAGCCACGTTGGGTGCATCCACATCGCATCCCTCCTTGCACATCCACTGCATCGCTTTCGTGCGCCCGTACTGCACGGCATAGTGCAACGGCCGTGTGCCTTGGTTGCAGCCCCAGTCAAGCAAAATGCTCTTGGGGGCTTGCAAGGGCTCACACCTGACGAAGTCGTAGTCTCAATGTTTGCTCCAGCCTTGGCGAGCATTTCTAAGATCTGCAAGAGATTCAGATTGTTCGTTTGAGCACAGTAAAGGACCTCCGAGTTTCCACATCTCGCTGCATCGTGTGCGGGAGTCCAGCCATCGTAGTCGGTACCCTGACAAACGATTTGTAAGAGGATCAACCCATGACAGACAGAAACACGCATGGATCAACCCATGATAGAAAGAACAATCACCTTGTTCGGGTCTGCGCCATTCTCGAGAAGGGCCGAGACAGAGTTCTTGAGGCCCTTACTGCAAGCCCAGTGCAACGGCGTCCATCCAATCTGAAGAGAATGGTGAGGGAAGGTAAGTAAACGGGCACGAAATCACCGCATCGGGCTCATTGATCATTCGTTTGTTACTCGGATCTTTGAAGAAATCGTTCAACTCCTCATCGTCGTCGTTGAGGCTGCGAAATAGTCAAAGGTTTCAACTGCCCAAGGACGAACTAGTGTTACATTATGTCGTGCAGTACCGTCCGCATTTGCTTTGCTCCGCTTGTTTTACCTATTCTGCACAGAGACTCGTCATTCATTGTCGGAACAGAAACATCCACTTGCTCAGTCCTACTCTGATCGAGCGCAGGGACAAACAAACTGAAATCTTAACGGGGATTGACTGAAAATGATGCAAGGAGCCTGCACAAGGCTTTTCCCCACCACAACATCATAAGATCCCATCAGATATTGTATTCCATGGTGACTCTGCATCTCTTTGTTGAAATCTGCTCCTCCTCCTCCTCCTCCCTCCTCTTGCTACTTCAACTTTGAAAAACCTTCTCCCCGCCATGGTCCGGACCAGGTAAATGGACCCAAACTCAACTCCAACCACCCCCTAAAACCCTACCACCCACCCCCAACCTCTCTGAGAGTTTTGAAAGATAAAAATCAGCAGGCGCTTTTTCCGCGTCATTGCTCATTACAGTGATCAGTAGTCACGAGTAGGTTACAGTTGCAGGTCAGACGCACATGTCCTCTACGTAGAAGCAGCACAGAAGTCAGCGCGCATGAGGAGACACACAGCAGCAGAATTGGGCTGATCTCACGATTTAGAGGAGCAAGGATACGGTCGGGGACACTCGAGCTTTCTGCTTTTCCTTCCCCACCTCTCTTGCCTATCACTGCTGCAGCACACGCCTTCCTGCGTGGGTGTCGTGGAACATTAGTGTGCCACAAAATGCATCTCCTTTGAATATCGATTCTTTATGTATCCAAGGACCAGGATGTATCAGCCATCGAGACAGTCGAAATCGAACTAGCAAGCCCCGACTGTAAACTCGCTCCACTGTTTCTTATGCTAGTGCTGGCCAGGCATTTCGTCGAGCCCAACAAATTTCGGTTTGTTCTTGTGTTTTGGCTCGGCCAATTTGTTTTTGTTCCCATCACTATTCTTCACAAATTTGTTAGGACGTCAAACTCCTGTTTCTGTGGATTCGCATAAAAGAAGAGCAGAGAAACAAGGGAGTTCCAATAGTATTCACTCAGTCACACAACACTACAACTGACTGAGATAGTAAACCTCCCGTCGCCTCTAATTATTGTGTCACACTTTCAAGTCTTAGTGATGGCAGACGTTTACAGCAAATGCTCGTACAAGTTGTTCCAGTCGTGATGGTCACAGGGCCAGCCGCGTGATCCTTCTCCTCAAGGTGCCAATTCGGAGTTTGTCTGATGCTGCTGCAAGTTGACGCCAAGTAGAGTCTTGTGGCGGGTGTTTGCGAGTTCGAGTCGACCTCCTTCAACTTTCATCGCTCTGATCCACCTCGTGCACAGCTTGTCCTCCCATCGAAGCAAGAGGATTGATGCCTCAGCAGTTTAAATAAATATCAAGACACACAAATTTGAGACATTTTGTATTGGTAATTTGCTGAAAATATTTAACCCCTGAATACACGATACGATTCCCATTGAAAGCAATTTTCCTGAGGTATCCTTACTTCAGGCAGGCAGACTGCATGCAAGATGGAGTCTTTCAACCGTGCCATAGCTGTGAGCAAAATGGGTTGTGCTGAGGAGAGTGCTATTGTTGCCTTCAAGTTTAACATTTCAGTCTCAACTGTGTTCCGGTATTATGATTGTGACTGCAACATGAGTGTTGTGGTTAAAAACCATGAAGTTCCTTTTGCATACTACTTCATATCCTGCTCTTAAGGGACAACTCTGCACCAGCTCAAGCAGGCATCGCACACACCTTGCAAGCGCTCTTGTTCCGAAGGCATTTTAATTCTGTTTGACCACCATCTTGTGTTGTTTGAAGTGAAGGTAAAACGGCCTGTAACGGTAACCCTAGCCAGAAGCCGGACTGATAAAGTCTTTTTTTATTGCAACCTGTAGGGTAGGGTAGGGTCAATCGACAAGATAGGGGTGTGTAGCCTGATGAATGCATTACCTCAAGGAGGGTGGGTGGGCAAGAAGGCAGCTCAGGGCTCACTCCACCACCCCTCCTGCTTCATCAGTCACCGTGGCATCTTTGAAAGCGTAGTTGAGAAAGGGGATGAAAGAGAAGGCAGGAGAGAGGAGAAGGTGGAGAGAAACGGTAGAAGTGTGGTGGATCAAAGTGCTTCTTGTGACAGAAAAGCATGTTGATGTTGTCTGCTCAGGTGTTAAGCCCCTCTCATCCGTAATCGACAAAGAAAGCCATTCTGTACATTCAGATACTTAGGATTGCTTCAAACATTTCTTGCCTGGCGGCAACTACATCCTGAGGTATCATTGCCAAAGCATTTATCTTTATCTTACTGTACTATATTTGAGGTCGAACTTGATGGCAAAGCACAACATTCTTCTTCTGGTATGGATTGGGTTGGAGCTTCCCCCCTCTGTGAACGCAATCGCAAGAAGCACATCACGTACAACATTCAACTCATCGGTAACACGAATCTTCTTTTCCCATGCTGAGAGAACGACTGTGCATGCATCGCAGCGACGTGCCTATTCGTCAGAGGACTATTGTTCCTATCCCGTACTTTACAATGGGTCTTGGTATCAGACGTTGGATCTAGAGGCTTCACCTAATAGTAACTATCTGACTACACAAGAGACATACCTCCCCCTTCCTCCCTTATGGTCTATTGCAGAGGAAACTGCTAACACCATACACGTGGTAGCATCATACACCTGGTCAACTCTTGGGCTGGTGTTAGCAAACGGAAAAGTTTTCCACACAAGCAATTATTGGCTACTAAAGGTCACTGATCCTTTGCATCCTCCGGTCGCGGGAGGTTATGCCAATTTATCTCATAATTCGCTTCGGTACAAAGACGGTGAATATGCAACTCCTTACACGAACACAAGAATACTGCTGCAGACTGCATTCAACACCTGTAGCGCAGTGAACAGATCGGAATGTTCTGCAGGAAATTATCTGATGTCGTCTAATTGCTTTCCCTGTGAAGCAGGAATGTACTCAACAACCCCAGGGCAGTCTTTCTGCACTGATTGTTCTGCTGGATATTATTCCGGTTGGGGACAGTCTGTGTGTATGACGTGCGCGGAAGGCTCTTTCTCATCAACAAGTTCTTCTTTCTGTCTGTCTTGCCCTTCAGGCACAGCACCGGATTCGTACTTGTCATCCTGCAAGTCATGCTCTGCAGGCCAGTACTCCTCGAAGTCCAGAACGTGTTTGTCATGCCCAAATGGAACATACTCACTATATCAGGCATCTAGATGTCTTGCCTGTGATTATGGTTCCTGGTCTTTTGGAGGAAGTTCTAGCTGCCAGAGATGTTCATCCTACAACTTTTTCAAAATAGATTTTTGCAACTGTCCTCCAGGATCGGGCTGGGATTCTTGGTATTCAGGCTGCCAGACTTGTGACTCTGGCGAATTTTCAAATGGCACAGTTTCTTGCAAAGCATGTCCTGCAGGCCAATACTCAAAGAATCGATCATCTGTCAAATGTATTCTTTGCGAAGTTGGCACCTATTCAAGTGAGAGCGGATCAACTTACTGCCGTACTTGTGCAAATGGAACTTTGGAGGAAGGTGCTACATGGTGCGACTACCGGTCAGAAACAGATAGCTCTTCGACGGACTCTTCCAATTCAGATTGGAAGTATTTTCTTTATTTGTTCCTGATTTCTCTACCGTTGACTTGTTGTGCAAAGATGCATCATGATAGGGAGCAATCTAAAAGTCGAGTCAGTGACGAGCCTTCAACATCAAGAACGAGAACCCAAGGCAACACGAGAAGCACAGATAATGATGAGCGATCTCTTGTTGGGTCGTCGGATGAATCGTCGGATGATGAGCTGGAATCGGGTAGGAGAAATGGTCGAAACAAACGACCTCCCACTTCCAACAAAGCGAAAGCTCCAGATAATTCGTATAGGAAACCCAAAACCCCTCCGGTTGTACCGGTAGCAAAACCCGTTCAGGTCCCGCCAGCAGAACCGCCAAAGGTGCCGGAGCCTCGGCAGGTTCCGGTGTCTCAAGCTGCTACTCAGCCACCCTCAAATCCTGAAATCCGTCCTTCGCAGGGCTCAGGGAACGCAGCCAAAGTAGATGTAGATGATGGAGAAGCTTCTGATTACAAAGATTTCATTCCCAGAGTCAGTGAGGATGAAGAGCTGCTTGAGGCGATCAATCGAGGAGATGATGCGAAAACAGAACGACTTGCCTGGAGTATAGGTGCCGAGCAACTGATGGAGAAATTCCATATTGAACCAGAGGAAGTTACGACATTGTTCAGCGGCAGTTATGATAAGACAGTGCGAGTCTGGAACCTTGAGACCAAGACGGAAAAAGCTTGTCTCACAGGACATATCGACAGAGTATACAGCGTGGCAGTGAGCCAAGACGGCAAGACAGCAGTCAGCGGGAGCGGCGATCATACAGTGCGAGTCTGGAACCTTGAGACCAAGACGGAAAAAGCTTGTCTCACCGGACATAGCGAGAGAGTGTACAGCGTGGGCATAAGCGATGACGGCAAGACAGCAGTCAGCGGCAGTTATGATAAGACAGTGCGAGTCTGGAACCTTGAGACCAAGACGGAAAAAGCTTGTCTCACTGCACACAGTGATTGGATATACAGTGTGGCAGTGAGCCAAGACGGCAAGACAGCAGTCAGCGGGAGCGGCGATCGTACGGTAACAGTCTGGAATATTGAGAGGGGTACCGAGAGGGCTTGTCTCACCGGACATAGCAGTACGGTATACAGTGTGGCACTGAGCCCAGACGGCAAGACAGCAGTCAGCGGCAGCGGTGATCGTACAGTGAGAGTCTGGAACGTGAACGCGAAGAGAGAGAGGGCTTGTCTCACCGGACATAGCAGTACGGTATACAGTGTGGCACTGAGCCAAGACGGCAAGACAGCAGTCAGCGGCAGCGGCGATCATACAGTGAGAGTCTGGAACCTTGAGACAAAGAAGGAAAAAGCTTGTCTCACAGGCCATAGCAGTACGGTACACAGCGTTGCACTGAGCCAAGACGGCAAGACAGCAGTCAGCGGCAGCGGCGATCATACAGTGAGAGTCTGGGACGTGAACGCGAAGAGAGAGAGGGCTTGTCTCACCGGACATAGCAATACTGTGCATACTGTTTGTCTCATGTCCCGCAAGATGGCCGTGAGCTCGATGCTACATGTGGCGGCGATGCGAGGCGTCTGGTCTGTCTGTCAGATATTGTTGGAGGTGGGAGGGCTGGCTCTGGGAGACTTGAGAGACTCGCTTGGACGGACAGCCGTGGAGGTTGCGAGAGAGAGGTCCAACGAAGAGCTGGCAAAACAAATCGAAACCTGGGTGCAAAAACAGAAAGGAGAGCAACTCTTATCGGCAGTGCGCGAAGGAGCTGTAGAGAGTGTAACAAGACTGATTGAGGAGAGAGCAAGCCTGATGGTGCGAGACCATGCCGGATTGACAGTCCTGCATTGGGCGGTGAAGAGAGAATCTGAAGAGATTGTGAAGCGCTTGCTAAAGGTGGGAGGGAAGGAGCTGATTGAAGTCAGAAGCAGCGATGGACTCACTGCAAAAGATATCGTGATTCGAAGGCAAAACAAGACCATCATGGCGGCGATAGAAGCCGCGGAAAGAGCAGCTGAAGCAGACAATCAGATGCCGTACAAGAGGGCACAGGAGTTGATAGAACGATACAGTACAACAGATCAAACAGAAGGAACAAAGTTGCTGAGCCTGGAGGAGTACAAGACGTTGATCAATCTCATGCTGAAGGCGCATGAAGGCAGCCTTGCGGAGTCAAGATCAGAGGACCGGTTCAAGTCCGACCCCAGGACGCTTGTGTGCGGGCAATTTAAACATGCGGCTCAGGGTCTGGAGCCGCTGCTGCAGGTGAAGCTGAAAGATGCTGTCTACGACAAGATGAGGGATGCGATCAACAGCATGAGGGAGGAGGTGGAGAGGCTCGGAGCAGAGGATTTGAGGGAGGACTTGGAGTACGTGCTGTCGGAAGCTGCGAGGGAGGAAGAGAAGGATAAGGGTATCATGGACAAGGGCCATGCAGGGATGAGGCTGAGAGATTTCAAGAACCATACAATGGCACAGCAAGCAAACCTTTCCGAGGAGGAGGTGGCGGCCCTGCGCCTCTACACGCTGCCGAGCTTCACTCACATCAATAACCCGCTGCGAGATCAGAACCGTGTGAAAACGAAGCAGCCGCACCCTCTCCCCCTCATCACCTTCCTCATCGTCGAGGGCCTCAAGAAGATGCGAGCAATCGAAGGAATCAACGGCACGGGGATGGAGTCTACGGTGCTGTGGCGCGGGATGAAGAACTTGATCTTGTCCGATCAGTTCGTGGCGGAGGGAGGGACTGAACTGGCCCCCATGTCGACATCGCGAGACCTCCATGTTGCTGCCGGATACAGCATGAGTGGACAAGCCTTGGTGTTCCGCATCAAGACAAGGAACAGCCTGCAGAGGGGAGTAGACGTATCTTGGCTGTCTGCCTTCCCGGCGGAAGAGGAAGTGCTCTTTCCTCCATTGACGTACCTGCAACCGACTGGTTTGACACAAGAGGTTGAGCTGGGGAAGTACAAGTACAAGATCGTGGAAGTAGAGCCAACGTTAGCATGAGATGGAGAACGAGGGGCAGAGCTCAGTGAGTCAGACAGTTGCGGCAAGACCAGGACTAAGAGAATGGAGATGCTGTTGCTGGACGGCCGTGCGTGCTCTACATCGCTGCTGCTCTTCAAGGCACATGTTTGAATGGATCAGTTCTGATGATTTTCAAGCATTGAAACTTGATGGACACTAAGATTACACCGCTAATGTATGTCAATGAAAGACTTGTTGAAATAGTTTCTTGTCATCTTGCTTCCAAGTGCTTCAACAACAAGCTTACAGCACCTGTGCAGTACAGCAAACTCTGTCCGAGGCGGGTTGGAGCCGAGCACTAGTACCGGTCTTTTTCTCTGTGAGTAATTGGGGATTAGTACCCCTCCTTTCCTCCTTCACCAAGATTTCCAGCCCCCGAATGCAAGAGTGCGCCTGAGGGAGGATGACGGCAGAGCGAACGAGGGGAGCAGAGGACGAGGGGGAGAGAGGAGCTAGGAGTGAGAAGTCCTCGCTGTCACTCAGAGAAGACACGAGAGCTGGCTCCAAGATCAGAGAGCTTGCTGTTGAAGGGAACTTGTCCCAGTACAGGACAATAGACTTGGAGTATGGGCATGAGGTGTCCAACGAGACGCTTCACTTGATCTCCATGCATGCTACAGACCTTGAGCATCTCAACTTGAACGCGTGCCAAGAATATGACGATGATGGCCTTCTCTACTTGTCCAAGGCATGCACTCGCCTGGAATCGCTCTCGCTGTATTGGAACGTGAAGGTTACAGACGTAGGGATTTCTGGCATAGCGCGCGTATGCGCAGGGCTGACGGATCTTTGTCTTTCTGGATGTAAGCATCTTTCTGATACGGGGCTGAACGAGATCGCCAGAGCTTGCACTAATCTTGTCTCACTGGACCTCACGAGATGTGCTAGGCTGACGGATGCTTCTATCAGCACTACCAGTCAGCACTGCACGAAACTTCGCAAGCTGCTGCTGTACGCGTGCGCGAGCCCGACAGATGTGGGTGTTAAAGCGATCTTTGAGCACCTGCATGACCTTGAGAACGTGGACTTGTGCGGCTCACATCACATGACGGACGAGGTGAGTTGGTTACAGGGTTGCGCTGCCCTCGCGCTGCTGGAATGACGATCTCTGTCCCTCAGGCTTTCCGGCAAGTCTCGCACCGGAGGATTCCACGTCTGCGCAGGATCAACTTGGGATGGTGCCAGGGCATCTCGGATGAGACGCTGATAGCGATCGGGCAGGGTTGCCCCAACCTGCAGTACATCTACCTGCTGGGGGACAAGCTTATCACCTCCAGGGGCCTCGAGGCTCTCAGTCAAGGCTGCAGCAAGTATGCAAGTCCCTAGTGCAGTGCGATGGTGATGTTCTGACTTCTTGTGATTGTCAGGTTGTGTGGGCTCGACATCTGCGGGCTTGCTCACGTGGAGGACCGTTCGATGCCTGCGATGCAAAGGCTTTTCCCTAACTTAACCTTCCTAGCGAAACTTGGCATGGCGCCGAATTATCACGAGGACTAGAGTGAGAGGGCGTTTGAGATTTTTCAGGATCGATAACAATTTCTATTCCCCCACAAGTGTTTAAGTTACAGCTCTGGTGCATCTACCAGTTGAAAATAGATTTCCGCTCCAAGAGCGGAACCTTTGGATTGGCCTTGGCGTTCCTTGCAGCATCGTAGACCATATCTGCAACTCTAACGGGGGTGGAAGTATGGAACTTCCTCTCTGCCTTGCGCACCGCCGCATCACTGCTCGCCAACTCCTCGAACCTCGCAGGCGAACCCCCCTCGTCAGACAGCTCCTTACCCACGACCGCCTCGATATTGTTTCTAAGTGCCTTCTTATGCTCGGAGGGGCCAGATGCCTTGTGAGTGTTGGAATGTATCGCTGCAGGATGACCGTTCACCATGGTAGTCTTGCCCATGTTCATCGTCTCTTGAGGGCCCCTGGCTGCCCAGCGGGTTTCTTCGCTCTTCTCTGCATTCAAACCATGAATTTTTGCTGAGATTCTCCTGAGCTTTGCCTTGATACGGTCAACATTAGCCCTGTAAATGTTCAACCGTACTTCAGTGCTCGCCTCTTGATTGGATAGTTTCCTGTAGTCAGGACGGCCCTCAAGATTCATCAGCTTCTTGCTGTCCAAAGCAGCTTTCTTCCACATGCTTTCTGCCTTGGTGACCGCATCGGTGCTCTGACTGGTGGACTCCCTCGCAGACTTCGACTTGTACCATTGCACGATGTTGAACTTTCCTTGCTCCACATTGAGATCCTTCACAACGCTATCTGACAGCTGGCGGGCCTTGTCTTCCAAATATTTCGCTCTCGCTTTGTCCTTGTGCTCGACGGCTGACAGAGAACGCTTCTCATTCTTCAGCTCTGCAAGGGGACCAGCATCAATCTTACGCAGCTCATGGTCCTCCATGTCCCTCTTCTGCTGCGCCTCGGCAAGCTTCAGCTTGAGCGAAGCCTGCTTCAGCATTGCCTTGTCTAGGGCAATGCGCCAAGCATGACTGCCATAGCGGGGGAGGTTGGTGAAGGCACTTTCCGACCGCATTGCTATGGGGGATTTCAACGAGGTCAGAAATTCATTCAACTTGTTTGACCCTTTGAAGGAGTTGTGTTCGTCCTTTGATCCAATCTTTGCTTCAGCCTTTGCTTCGGCCTTGTGGGCAGTCCGTTTCTTAGAAGAAATCTTGTCTCCTCCATGCTCAATGATATGGATGGCAGAGGCGAGTAGGTTCACCCCCGGAAGGTCTAAGCTGTGCACCTTATTCTGCACTATGGCTGGAGCAACCTTGCTCTTGACTGCTGCGCTTGCAGCAAGAGCAACCGATGGGGAAGACGAGTTGTCGGAGAGCAGCATCATAGCGGCTATCGCCACCATCGCCATCGCCGCCATCGCCGCCACAAGGGCTGCAGTTGCAGCTCTCATCTCAACCATCCCCGCGTCCCTTCGCAAACACGTTAAAAACGGTTACGATCATATCAATCCCATACTAACCGTTACTAAATCGTTTCGCAATTTTGAACACGTTGAATCGAATCAATTCATCAGCGGATGGATTTTAATCGGTTTGTGCCAGTGAGGCATAGTGAATTCTTCCGACAATGCTCGCCAGGGCGAAACTGCTGGGGAGGAGGCGCGGGCTGCCCACAGCAGCTCGTCTCCCTCCCTCCCTCTTCCATTCTCGTCCTCTTCGTCCTCTTCGTCCTCATTCCGCCTCACTATCCTCCTCCTATCCCACTTGCTTCTTGCCTTCAGCCGCTGCTGTTGCATCCTTCAAATCCATGGCATACTCCCACACTGCGACATCGAAGGTTTCGTCGCAATGCCATCGACTTGTCGCGGTGAAACGGCTTGCAAACGAAGGGGGAGAAGGTCAGCGAGAAAACAACTCGTGGGGATGGAACGGCTTCCACGGTTTCTCATCGCTCAATGCTGGAAGCTGCATGCTCATCGGTGTGGCTACTCTTCTCTTTCTGCTCACTTGCTTCTCTGACAAGTAACTCAAGGCATCACACTGTGTGACGGCGACAAGGGCAAGAATGAATCCGAGAAGGCGATTGCTGAACAATTCATGGATCAACTCTCTCCGATCATGTCACAGCTGACCATCGGAACTACTATGGTGAGATGTGCGACTCATGTTGTCGGGCCGGACTGACTCTCTCTCCTCTTCAACCCCCCCTTCTACACCTCGTTGATACCCTTCGCTGATCGCTTTCTTACCCATCAAGGGCTTTGCCAGCGGATACGCTCTGAGAACGATAGGAAAGATGGCGGCAGTGCTGGTGGGATGTTCTTTCATGCTGCTGCAAGGAGCTGCGTACAAGGGATGGGTCCACATCAACTGGAACGCAGCGACCAAAGATCTTCACTCCGTGCTCGACCAGGACGGCGACGGTGACTTCGATATGGACGACATGAAGATCCTCTTCACCCGCTTCGTGGAGGTCGCCACGTACAACCTGCCGTCTGGAACCGGCTTCACAGCTGGACTGCTCCTGGGCCTCGGGTTCACGGGAGGGACGGCAGGAAGAGCGGCAGCAGCGGTAGGGACAGCGACGCTGATCCCTCGTGCCATCATGATGGGAGGAGCGGCGACTGCAGGCTCCAGTGCCATGGTGTCGTTCAAGGATCAATACGATGCTGCGAGAAGAAGCGCGGAGCAGGTGTGCGGTTGAAGGAGGGGGATAAGGAGGACGGAGGGGGAAGAGGAAGAGAAGGTTGTGGTGGAGGAGGAAGAGGCAAAGGGAAAGGAGGAGGCGCGTGTAAGGGGAAGATGTTGAATGAGGATGTGATGATTTTCGGGTCATGATGTGTATGCGAAGGTTCTCGGAACAATCACGCTCGGTACTGTGAGTGAAGAAGAACGCTTCAAGGAGTCGATCAAGGTCAGAGGAGGAGGAGTGAGGAATGAGGAGGAGGAGACAAAGTGAAGCAGAGGAGGCGAGGAGGAGCAGGAGTGAGGAGGAGGAGCAGGAGGCAGGAGGACCCTTGATCAACTTCTTTTCAGGGCAAGACTCTGGTGGAGTTGAGGAACATGGAGAAGGAGGTGAAGGATTTGCGAGGGATGGCAGAAGCTAAAGTGAAGATGAGCAGGTGAAGCAGAGTTTGAAGAGCCCTTCCAACGAGGAGGAGAAGAAGAAGATTGGTGAGTGAAACCTGGTCAATGCAAGGTTGATGAAAAAGCTGATGGAGGAGATTGGGATGGTGGTGCTGGTCGTGGTGATGACTTTGCTCATGACAGAGACGAAGCTCAAGATGATCGAGCAGATGAAGATCGAAGTGAAGAAAAGCTGAGATGGTTCTCAACCCTTCTGATTTCCTCCTTGCTGGTGGTCCGTCAGAAAGTGTGTTAGGATGCCGCGTGAATTTTGCTTTCTCTTCATGTGACCTCCCAATAAAATTCCAGTGAGCTCTCATTCCATCGATCATATTTCACATTCATTCCATTGATCACATTTCACATTCACATTCACACTCGCGTTCTCTTCCAAGATGGCGAGATAAAATACAATCGCACATGTCAGCCATGCTGCGAGACCAAGAACCAGCACAGCACAAGAGCAAGCGACAACAAGGGCTGCGGGCAGGAGGGCAGGCGGCAGGACGAGGAGAAGGAGATCTCAGGAAACAGGCCGTAGCCTTGGCAGGACGAGCCGTCTCCTCCGCACTCTCCGCACTCGTCGACGCTCTTGGCGCTGAAGCAGGAGCCATCGCACCCCAGGTCGTTTCCGTTTCCTCCGCACACGCCGCAAACATCCTTCTTGGGGGGGCGGAGGGGAGGGAGGTAGATTCCTCCGTCGCATCCCAGGCACTCTGCAAGCAGGTAGCTACCACCACACACCCCGCAAGGGTCTCTCTTGACACCGCCGAAGGGGACGCCATGGCAGTCAACGCACAAGTCGGTTCCTCCGCAGACGCTGCACCGGTCGAGGACGAGGGGACTGTAGGCAACTCCATCGCAGCCGTAGGGAAGCGACTTGACCGAGAAGATGGAGAGATGGCGGGAAGCACAGGTCACCTCCTCCCCGCTGATGTTCCTCACGCTCAGACCTGACACGCTCCACACGTCCCGAGAGTCCAGGAAGACGCAGGAGGGCTTGTCGATGGTTCGGCCTGTGGCGTTGTCGTAGGAAGGAGAAGGAAGGTCAGGAACCCTCGCGCGGATCAGAATCGGATCGCTCAAGTTCGTGACATTAACCTCCTCCTCATAGCCGTGCCAACGTGTGCTGACCTGCCAGTACCCCCCCAGCAGCCTTCCCTCCTGCTCCAGCCCCTTCCTCCCTTGATCGAAGTACCGCACCGACGAGGCGTTGGCGGCCCATACGACTGACAGGAGGTCAACCCCCGCCTCCTGCTCCAGCTGGTAGCCGGAGGGAAAGATCTCCACTCGAGTGAACCTGCTGCCCCGCGAGTCCTCAAAGTTTGGCAGGCTAATCTCGACGCCTCCGACCGTGAAGGTCGCCTGGGAGAGAACGAGGGAGGAGGAGGCGGAGAAGGCGAAGACTTGAGCGCGGCTCTGGAAGAAGGAAGAGTTGAGCGAGGACGCGAGCTGGCCAGGCAAGTTGCCTCTGACGAAGTTTCTGCTGGCATCGATTAGGATGTCCTCGACCTCCACCTGAAAGCTCCTCGACAAGTTGCTTGTCAACTTGAACTGGTCGGACAAGAACCGAACGGCAAACCAGGTCGATTTCATAACCTCCATCGACGTCACGACGCTCTCGTACGGCAGCGGCCCGTCTGACGACCGCAGGAGGTACCTGATGATATACACGGAGAGCTGAAGAGACTCCTGGCCCAACTGCTCGTAGCTGCTCGTCACCTGCTTGACCAGGTCGATGACCGTCGACATGACAGCGTCGGTCATGTACGTCTCGTTCCTCACCATCCCTGCCACCACTCGCATCATCGTCAGCCGAATCTGCTCGAGACTTTGCGCGTTGTCCGCCGTCAGCGTCGAGCTGCTGTCCAGCTGGAAGATCTCCTCCATCGGAATCTCCGGCCTCCTTGAAAGCATCCACGGCACTCCCTGCTGGCTCGCCTGCGCTCGGAGGAGCGAGTCTGCAGTCCCCTCCTCCTCCTCCTGCCTCCTCCTCCTCCTCCTCGCCGCCTGCTGACCGTACAGGTTGATGACAGACGACATTGCAAACATCACGTTCAGGAGGTCCACTGTCTGCTGGCTGTCCGACAATGTGGCCAGGCTTCCAGCAGCGAACTCCTCCACCTTCCCGATGAGGGTGGACGGGGAGGAGGAGGACGACGGCGGCAGAACTTGTATCCTGCATACGTCCCACACTTTCGGGCTGCCGGGGAGCTCACAGAACGTGCTCGACGTCGTTATCCCCAGCTGATTCTCCACCTCCACCCCCAGCCCTAGCGCAGAGTCTCCACCTGAGCCCTGTGGCAGCAGCAGCGAGCGCCATGACTGGACAGTCTGCGGCGCAACAGTGACGAAGCCGGTGGAGGCGTTGCCAGCGAGGAAGGAGAAGAGCAGGGGGAGGTTGTCGGGCGAGTCAGTCCAGCCAAAGCAGGTCAGCACGAAACGGGTAAGGAGGGAAGAGCCAGATGAGGGGGAGACGGAAAACCAGCCCCTGGTCGGGCGACTTTGGCAGTCGATGGAGATCTGAGAGTAGGAGGCGACGGAGCTGTTCAGGAGCAGGGAGACGCGGAAGATATACCCTGCTCCTGGTGTCAGCGAGTCGGGTCTGAGCACGAGATTCTTCGCTCCCAACAGCGTGAGGAGGTAGCTGCTGTTCCTGATGTCGATGTCTCCTTGGACAGTCGTCCAGGCCAGCTGGAAGGAAAGGGTGGAGGAAGGCAGGACTGAGGACTGCAGAGCAAGTGAAGCTGCTGGGTTGACGCGAGTCTGAGCCAGGGGGAGGAGGACGACGCTGAGAGTCTCCTGCGAGGATGTGGAGAAGGTCACTTGAACCTGAGCTGAGGCGGATGCAGAGGTCGAGCCCGTCTTACGGACGAGGAGCTGGAATGAGAAGCTGGCCTCCTGCTGGGGAAGGAGGAGGCTTGCGAGCTGAGCCGGAGCCTTCACAGTCAACCTGGACGTCAAGTTGCCGTTGACTAGCAGGTGGTCGCAGAGGGAGTTGTTCGAGGGAACGCCGTCATGCCGACAGAACCACACAAAAGACAGTCGGGGGGAGGCGAGGTTGGCGGAGGGGCTCACGTCGGGGTCGTAACTACCAGAGCCGTCAAGCTCGACGACGACGTTCTGAGAGTTCAGGCGATTCCCTCCGAAGATCTGAGCCACAGGGGGGGAAACTAGGACGTTCAGGTCGTAGTACTGCGAGAAGGAGGAGGAGGGCAGGTCGTAGTTCAGGATCGCCCGGTAAGTCTTGCCGGCCGTCAGGGTGAAGCTTGAGATGGTGAGATGAGCTGTGGAGGAGCGGATCTGCGGGAGGTCTGCGACAACAGCTCCGCCCTTGACCTCTTGCATGGTCCAGCTGAAGGAGATCTTCGATGTGTTGGAGAGGCAAGAGATGTTGAGCACGGCATGCAGTCGGATCACCTGGTAGCTCCTCACCAGCCCCGTCTGCTCGCTGACTATCTGCACCATGGGGACCTCCTTGTTCTCCCTGATCGCCGTCACCTCTGCCGTTGCGTTCAACCCAATCCAGTTGGTGACGCGGACTTGGAAGGTCAAAGACACGAGGAAGGGGAGGACAGCTGAGGGGACGGCGACGACACTGGCAGAGCTGTTCTGCAAGAGGAAGAGGATCGCCTGATAGGAGGATGACGGCGTCGTTCCTCCCGCCGCAACCAGCGACCACGTGAACCCCATCGCTCTCCCTCCGTTGTTGTAGCTCAGGCTCGCGTCCAGGACGAGATCGTCGCAAGTCCCAATGCGTGGGGGAGCCGAGAGGACGGCGACAGGAGGGACAAGCGAGGAGGATGGGATGAACACAGAGGAAGAGGCTGCAGAGGGCAGGGAGAGCTGTCCTCCCGCATGAACGCTGTTGTTGCTGATGACGAATGTGTCCCCTGGCACGCATGTCGACTTGACGCCCAGGTGCACGACCAGCGTTCGGTTGTCCTGCCAAGAGCAGAAGGAGCCTTGACCGAGCAAGAGTAGCGGAGAGGCGATCACGACGGCGCAGTCGAAGTTCCCGATGATGGGCTTGTCGTACATGGGCGGACATTTGTCCACGGCGATCCCACATCCGGCCGTTCCTGCTGCCGTTCTGAAGCCTCCTCGGTCCGTGTCGTTGTACCAGGTGAGGTAGACGGTGGCAAGGGAGCTGGAGAAGAAGGAGGAGTTGAAGAGAGGAGAAGGTCCGAGCCGCAGAAAGAATACTGAGTTGAACCCCTCAAAGTCCCTCTGGTTGAAGGATACTTCCACCAGGACCCCCAGCCCCTTGGCTACTGGAGGAGCAGAGCAGGCCATCTTCGACTCGCTGTAGACTGTGGCGACTACCACAACATCTCCAAACCTGCAAACGCTCAGGGAAAGCACGTAGGTATCTGACGGGCCTTACCTGCAGTTGGCCACTTTGTTGAGAATGAAATCGGAGCCGGTCAAGGTCAAAGTGACCCAGGAGGTTGAGGTAAGAGCCTCCTTTGGGTCAATGCTCCACACGGAAGGGGAGGGGTAGTAGGAGAAATTTCCAGTTCCGTTGACAGAAAAATGCTGCCCGTCCACTGCAAACTTGACCATGTTGAGCCCCAGGTGCGTCGAGAGCAGGACGGAGGAGGGGAGGGCTTGAACCTGGACGAAGTCGGAAGCTTGATACGAAACGTTCTTGTCCCTGATTGGAGGCGATTGACACACGGCGACCGTTGAGGATATGACAAGGGCAGGAGACGTCAGGTTCCCGACCTTGCACGAGACTGCTGACGTGGCAAAGAAGTACATCCCATACACAGTCACCCGACTGCCGCTCTGAGACGGACCGAAGGTGGGGACAACGGAGTTGACAAAAGGCATGTTGACCCACCGGAAAAGGAAGAAGGGCCATGTGAAGAACTCCTGGCCGTTGAGGGCGAACTGAACACTCAGCGACTGGTCCACCTGGTAAGGTGGGGATGTACAAAGTGCTGACTCGTAGCTTTCCCAGCTCGCCGTGACCGACGCGCTCCCGAACTTGCAGGACATGGTTGTAGAGAAGGGGATGAAGACAAACTTGAGCGTCACCACAGTCCCTCCGTCGTAGGGCCCAGCACTCGGACCGAAGAAGGAGGCCTGTGGAGACGAGTAGAAGAAGAACTTGCTGGCTGCTGAAAAGAATTCCTTGGGCTCTCCATTCAAGGAGACTGAGAGGTCGACAAAACCAACAGGTGAAGGAGGGGAAGTACAAATCATGCGGTCTTCGCTCCCTCCCACCATGTACCCGGGGACGACGGTGCTGCCGAACTTGCAAGAGAGCCTTTGAGTCGCTCGCAGGTTCAGCCCAACGATCGTGACATTGGTTCCTCCTCCTTCGATCCCAACTTTGGGTGAGAAATCAAGGATGACTGGGGGCACGTCGAAGGCATAGAGCTGGGGAGCTTGACCGTGGAGGGCAGAAGCGCCGATGTACACCAGGAAGGGAACCTCGATGACGAACGGAACGGGCGAAGGAGGAGAGAGGCAACGAATGATCGAATCATTGACAAACCTGCCAGCTGACGTCCGCTCGCCGAAGTGACAAGAGATGTTGCCGTCGATGAAGCCAAAGCCAGTGATGTTGACGAGGGTGTTACCGTAGATGAGACCATTCCTGGGATGAGTGAGGGGGAAGAAGCAGGACGCTGCAGGGCTCACCTCGGTTGGAAGTCATGGATGCCGGCAGAGGCAACAAGGTGAGACGATGAGACGATCTCGTTGCTGTTGGTCAGAGATGCTGATAGATTATAAGCCCCTTCGCCGAGGGTCGGGGGGGATGTGCAGGAGCCTTTGTTTGCATCGATCACTTGCATAGGCGACAAGGTAATGTTGAGAGCATTGAAGATGCAACTCGCCCATTGCGTGTCCACAAGGTTCGCTGCCGAGACCTGACACAAGGGCATCAGGCAGGTTTTGACGTGTCGAGGAAGACAGGCACCTCGAACGTTGTCGATCCGTAGCTGAACGACGACAGAGGAAGGAAAGAAACCAACTGCGGAGCGTCCAAGAGGTCGAGGACAAAAATTCTCGACAGGGTGAAGTCGAGACCGTTCATGGC